GTGGCACTTTGTCAAATGCCTTTTTAAAATCTAAATTTTCTACATTTACTGGTTCCCCCCTATCTAACCTGCAGATACATCTTCAAAAAACTCTAAAAGATTAGTTGAGGATGACTTCCCTTTTGTAAAGCCGTGTTGACTCCGCCTAATCTTGTTATGGTCTTCCAGGAATCCCATAACGACATCTTTAATTAAGGACTCAAGAATTTTCCCTTCCACTGATGTCAGACTAACTGGTCTGTAGTTCCCTATCTTTTCTCTCCCACCCTTCTTAAATAGTGGTGTTACTTTTGCAATCTTCCAATCAATGGGAACCGTTCCAGAATCCAGAGAATTTTGGAAGATCAAAGACAAGCCATCCACTATCAGTAGCCACCTCTTTATAAACCCTCGGATGTAGGCCATCAGGTCCAGGAGATTTATCAGTTTTAAGACCTGATAATTTACCTAAAACCATTTCTTTACTAATTAATTCCTCCAAGTTGCTCGCTAACATTGTCTTCTTGGTTTCCCCTCCATTCTTGGTAGGGTTTCAGTGTATTCTAAGGTGAAGACAGTAGCAAAGTACTTGTTCAATGACTCTGCCGTGTCTTTGTCCCCTACTGCAATTCCCCCCGTCTGTCTGTAGCGGACCCACATTTACCTTTGACAGCCTCTTCCTCTTTATATATTTATAAAAACTCTTACAGTCTGTCTTTTATGTTCTTCGCTGGTTTGCCCTCATATTCCATTTTCTCCCTCTTAATCACTTTTTAATACTTGCCGGGTGAGTGCTATTCTCCCTGAAGAGTCGTGCCTGCAATTAATAATAATCTTGCATTTGATGTAGTGGCTTATCACGTCTTCTAGACGTCTCAAAGCGCTTCACAGAGTATACTGTAAAGTGAATATATTGTAGATTGTATATAGACTGTATATTTTGTGGGCGAAATGCGGCAGCCAATTGTGCACAGCAGCATCCTACAGACAGTTTGGATTAAGTTACCAAATTATTATTTTTTATTATGGATTTTTAACAAATGAATTCACTGAAGAGTATTGCCTGGTAAATCTTGTATAGCTCAATTTAGCTCTACAAGATATTTCTGTGGCGTTGAAGCCACAGCGGCGTATGACAGTGATGTATTGTGCATTTGCTATTCTTTCATTTTCGGTGATGTCACAATGGTGAACGTGTATTTCCCGGTTCCGCGGTGTTTGCCGCTCAGTGTCTGTGGGAGTGCTGTGAAATGCAGTGGAAATGGGTTGGCTCTGATCACACTTTCTACTCCCGGTGTGAAGCAATAGGAATCGGTGAATATGTAGAATCAAATGGTTGGTTATTTATTGCTTGGTGGGTGTAGGGAAGAATTGATTTAATAAGGATGTGGTTAACTGATCACCAAGCAAGAATTTTAGAGCTTGGTATCAGTAATTCTCACCATAGGTTTCTGGTATCTTATTATCTCTCTTGTAGTTCACTTTCCCATCTATATACCCACCCCCTGCCCACCCAAATTTCTTTTATTTCCACAAGAAGTGTTTCTTGCAGTTGTCAGTTTCTCTCCAGTATCTACCTCTTCAAAGAGGCCAACATATATGTTGGACTGAGTGTCCAGTCTATCCGTCCATCCTTCCAAGAGTGAGTTTAATACATATCTACACACCCAGCTAATGAATAGCTTAAGAGTAACCAAACCAGACTTAGACTTCCACATATATACGCCTCCTCCACATGGAAACGTCCTAAATCTGGAATGGAATCGACACATGCCCTGGAGTGACACGCCTAGCGAATGCCAGAAAGCTTTAGGCATAGGTTGGTGAGTGCCAAGGCTTGGGGTTTCCAGAAGCGTTTAACCAGCTTAGTTCATAAATCGGTCTCCAGAAAACCTGAGACTTTTAGAAACTAGAGCTACAGTTATTAGGATTGGTCTTCCCAATTTTGGTGTTTTTTTTACCATCGGTGTTCTTTATTCGGCAGAAGCTAACTTCACCACAGGCACACCATGTGCAGCATTGTTGGAAACATTTTTCCATAACTCAATTAAGCATTGCAATATGACGTTGTGGTCAGGGCAGTTTTTTCCTGTTGTCAGAAGCTACTCAGATAACTTAAAGTTGAAACAAAAATGGTGCAGTAGAAGTCACCTTAAAATAAACTCAAGGTTTGAGGATCCGACTTGGACCTTACCAAGTATAATAATAATAATAAGTATAACCCTCGAGCTCAGTTTATGTAGCGTCTTACAGCTGGAAAGTTGGTTCGGCAGCTAACGTGGATAACAACAAAATTACATTTGTATAGCGCCTTTCACACAGGGAGGTGTCCCAAGGCGCTGGGGCTAACTCATGTGAATACCACAATCTATTTTAGACGGGGTTATCCAGCAAGTTAACTGGCATTCATTTATCAGAATTCTCTGTTATGTTATGTCGCTATTAGTAAAGTCCATTGTAAAACAAAAATTAAAACAGAAGTTGCTGGGAAAACTCAGCAGGTCAGGAAGCATCTATGGAGAGAGGAAAGTGGGTTAGCATTTCAGGTCGATGGCCTTTCGCATGAGTGTTCCCAGCGACTTCTGCTTTTATTTCAAATTTCCAGCTTCTGCAATATTTTGCCCTTTGTCCATTATAAAACAACTTTTTAGATCTTGTTATTTCTCCTGTCGTATGGTGGATTTACTTCCATTAACAAGACTTTCTCATAATTCTTCTTCTCACAATCCCAACTCCCCTATTATAACTAAATACTCTGATCCATGATTATATAGATGTAAGATTGAGGATTGTATGTATAGAGGTTATTTTTGCTAATTGAATAAGCTTATAATTATCAGATGCCACTTACCAACCATATAGACATATGATTCATGATTTCCGGAAATCTATATACCATCCACCATTGTTAGTTTCTGAACTAACTGATCAGTTCTGAATTATGATCCATAAAAATACCTCTTAATTTATGTGATATTTAAAATTTTGAGTGCTAGGATTGTTAAATAGAATCTTGAGTTTTCTATTTTGAGTTTCAGCTCTTAATTATCTGGGTACCTTCTATAGATTTACATTATATACTCTATAGTAATGCGACTCAATAATGGAGAACTATGGCCCAATAAACTATTGGAAACAATAGTTTAGGACTTAGTTTTCTGATCTAAAATTGCAGAGGAGAAAAATCCACTTAAATTACAGTGTAGAGCACTGCAATTTTATATAATAATCCTTGTATTTGAGATAGCGCTTTTCACGTCTTCTTGACGTCTCAAAGCGCTTCACAGGATATGCTGTAAAGTAAATTGACTGTATTTTGTGGGCGAAATATGGCAGCCAATTGCGCACAGCAGTGTCCCACAAACAGTTGTAGATAGAAATGACCAATTTATTACATTGAAATTAAATTTTTCTTTCTGACACTTATTAGTTCCAGTTCCATTATGTTTTGAGTAAGTTAGCCAAAGAAAAACATAATTGCAGTGACTAACGATGTGCAGAAATCAGGCGGGTTTCTTGGTGACCTAGTATTTCCTAATCCCCTACACGGTGTTTCTAATTTCATTCAGGCCATCTGGAGGGGCACAGGGTACATCTCCAGTGGGAGACAAAATCAGAAGGGAAGAAAAATCAGGAAAGCATACAAATCCGACAGTTTCTGTTACTGCTCAGTGGTATGTTTTATTTGCGCTCAGTATTTCTTAAATTTCTACCAATTGCTGTTTATTTAAAGGACTAGACGACAGTATTCTCAATGTGAATTTCTCAATTTCTTTCTTTCCTGTTTGCTGCGTTTTAAATGTCTTTGGGAGAAATGGTGCATAATACTGTTCCATACTCTCAGGAGCAGTGCAAGTGTAGTGCGAGGTTTGTTCATAATGACGTAATGCCTATCTGATTCTGCAGCTGTGCTGGTAAGCTCTCCTGAACATATTTATTTGGATTTGTGCTGTACCTTGTAGTTGATACGGAGAGGAAGGAAGACACTGGTTTGATTTGACTTGAAGAGATTCCATAAGCAAGGTGCAGCTAGAAGGCTGGCTTCAAGCACTTTTAAGTGTAGCCAGCCTTTACAGCAGCTGCTATCCCATTCACTGCTTCTATTAGCCTCGTGACTTGAAACCACAATGGAGGAATCAACTCTAATATCTCCTTAGTCAGCAAGACGGGTGGAGAATCCTAGAGGATATTGAAAGTGTAAATGATAAGGGCAGATATATGGCACTTGTGCATTGAAAGATTTCCATCATTATTAGATGAGGCTGGGGGTAATCAGCAGGTTGTTTGTGGTTTTGATATATTTCATTCTGATGATATTCCCTCATTTGATATATTGCCTTATGTCATCAAAATACCTTAAAGCTTTTCAGAGGATTTGTTTTGTAACATATAATTGTTTTTTGTAGGGAAATACGGCAGCCAATTGCGCACAGCAGTGTCCCACAAACAGTCATGGATTGAGTGACCAAACATCTCATACCTAATGGCAGTCATTAGGTACCAGCACCCACCAATGAGTTCCTGCAGCTTCCAGTTCTCTTTCTCGCCTTCTCGTCTACCTAGATTAAATGAAAGTTTATTTCAACACCATCCTTTTGATTTTAGGTCTCGTCTGTCTTGTGATTCAGGTGCACATTATGGAATTCCTCACCCCTGTAGTTTGACTGTTACGAATTTTCTTTTTTTTCTGATTTGTTAGTAAGACCGAGTTTTGTATTCTGGTAAAATGAAAGTTCTGGCTTGCACTCTTTACACTTGTGTAACATAGCTGAGATTGGGAGGGGAAGGAACTTGATAATTTTACAGTTTATTGAATAGTACTAAGTTATTATTGCCTAATTTTAACATGCTTGACTTTTTTATGATTAGCTTTTGGCAAAGTTTTATACCTTTCAGTTCCTGTTGCCCTATGAAATAAGGTGTAGTGTTGCAGACAGTGACATAACCTGTTGTAATAGTCTGTTTACATGAAGCAGTCTACAGGTCTCCTTTCTATATCATGTTGTACTTTCATACTCCAGCTTTATGAGATGGAGAAAGTGTACCCTGTGCCTTCAGAGCATCTTGCTCCTCCATCTTCTCGAGCTCTCTCTCGCCCTCTTTCAACTGGGCGCTCTGCCTCCATCAGTACTAAAAAGCAGAAGAGGATACCTCTGTATCAGAGATCAGTAAGTGCAAAAGCTGGCTTGCAGATTCAGGGAATATGCTGACTGCATGTGGGAACCAAGGTGTGTATTTGGGTGTGTTGGTTTGGAAAACATTTGCATGGACTAATGTTTCAGTTGTAATCTCCTAATTGAATCATTTTCGATGAAAATAACATTTACCTAAAAACTTAAACACTTCTGTTTAGGTGGCTTGCTGAGCAAGATGTATTTCAGACCAAATTAGAATGAACTTAGTTGAACTGGGTATAATTGGCATTGAAGTCAAATGCATCATAATCTAAAAACATGATCATGATCTAAAAACCCAAGTGAGAAATGGAAGTGTTTGGAATAAAGGTTGGTATAACTTAGTTATCACTTGTTGGACATTGAATATTGTCTATCAAGAGGAGAAAATTTAGCTTCTGGTCTAATTACCCACTGGCATGAGCATCACAACTGTAAAAAAAGGTTCTAATTTAGCAACAATTTGAAAGATTGTTTACAGACTTAGATACTTAGATGTTGGCTGTAGACTGCCCCACCTTTCTTTCCAAGTTCCTTTGGTTGCAAGCAAAGCTGCAACGGGTACAGCTAGTTACGTTGAATATTTATAAAATGTTGTGAGGCCTCAGTTGGAGACTGCTTTCAATTCTGGGCACCGCACTTTAGGAAAGATGTTCGGGCATTGGGAAGGGTGCAAAGGAGGTTTACCAGGATGGTACAAGGAATGAAGGACCTTAGTTATGAGAGGAGGTTAGCAAAACTAGGATTATTCTCCCGAGAGCAGAGAAGATTAAGAGGGGATTTAATAGAGGTTTTCAAGATCATGAGAGGATTTGATAGGTTGAACCGGGAAAAACTGTTCCCACTGTTCCCGAGGACACTGATTTAAGATAGTTGTTAACATAAACAGAGGGGAAGTTAGGAAAACATTTTTCACCCGACGAGTTGTTGGGATCTGGAATGCATTACCTGAAAGGGTAGTGGAAACCGATTCAATAACAACTTTTAAGGGAGAAATAGATGGGTAGTTGGGGAGGACGGAATTGCAGGGCTATGGAGAGAAAGCGGGCCAGTGGGATTGAGTTGGATTGCTATTTTGGAGCCGGCGCTGAATGGCCTCTTTCTGTGCTGTATGTTTCCATGAGTTTCCAGATAATTGGAAATAATATTGTCTCATGCTAGACAATGGTCAATTGTCTGGGACATTTTTGAACAAAGTTATTAGTTAATTTCATTTTTTTCAAAGTATTTTTCTGAATAATGCCAGACTAATAGAATAGCTGTCAACTATGGTTTTGCCATAGCTAATTGTCTCTTTTCTCCCCTTCCAACCCCACCCCTCGGAACAGTTACTCAGGACTAGTTAAGAATTTCAATCTTAAATTAGTTAGAGTTTCAATTGTTCAAATTAATCAGTTTGACTATTTCAAACCGTTCTACTACTCTAGAATGATTCATGGTTTGTTTTAGACGGATATTCTCTGGGGTACTGTTTTTACTAATTAATGTAGATGTGACACTTTGATACCTGACACTTTGAGATCATTCAGTTTCAGTCGAATCAATATTTGTCACCTGTGGTAGAACCCACAAGAGTACTCCTTGAGTTAAATTAGATTTTAAAAGCTTGGTGAATGGCTGGAGTCATGTGATTGTTTTTAAACTTTAAGGAAATCTTCCTTCCTTGCTTACAGCGATTTTTTGATTGTTTTTGCAGTTTGTTGTGAACTGACTGATCACTGCAACAACTTCTAACAGCTTATTATGCTAACTGAGCCATCAATGTCTAATTTGTTAGCTCCAGTTCTTAAAAATAATGCTGGTATCTTTTTCCAGTTTGCATGTAGAATTGAGTCTGCTTAATGTACTCTGTTGGACTGGACGAAATGTATAACATTACATGTCTATAACAGTAGGGAAACTTCCCTTATAAACACTTGCAAACACTTCCAGACTATTCTGAGGGTATTTATAATTTCAAGGATCCGAAAACAAAAGTAATGCATTTAATATGTTCCTTTAATTTCACTGTAATAAGGGTTAATAATCATTTTTGGCTGTTTTAGCTTCGAAATTGAATCGCAAATAATAACAGCCACGAAGGATTATCCGCATTCTATCCACCTGCCCCACACTCTCATTGGGCCATCTGGTTGTCCATCACCCTGTCCTGTGCGCTCCCTGGACCATCCAACTCTCTCTTCATTCTGGATTTCAGGTTCGCAGAGCGACGCTCCAGCAGCACCACACCCCTGGATATAACATTATTCAATCTTTTGTTAATCGGCCTGCAAATTTGCATAACAGGCACATTTTAACATTATATGGCTATAACACTACACATCCCCAAATGTATACACCATACCAAGTATGACTGGGGCTGGCCGCTAATATAACATTATGTGGATTATTATAATAGGCGACTTAACATTATGCAAACTCGACTGTAGATGATCGGATGCATTAGTTTCAGAATTGCTTTAGAGTTTTCAACTGTGTCTTCCCTATACTAAGGTGTGTTCTGTTGTCAAACATTATAAAAATAACCACATAGATTTTTATTTGTATTTGGTAGAACGCAATCCCTACTTGGGGCACTCGTTTTGAACTTGTTTTATTGGAGGTGAACCATTGACCATTTGTACTGGGAACATGCTGTTCAATCCAAGGTCGCTAAAATTGTGCGCGTGTGCGCGTGACATCTAAAACTGAAGAGCATTGAAAATGCTCAGTATGGCATTTGTTAAATCTACTGTTGCAGTTGATGTTTTGACATTTTGTTTTATGTTTTTGTGTTTTGATGTGCTTGGTTCCTTAAGACTGATTGATCTAATGTTCCATTTTTGCTTTCCAGATGAGCTTTGATCCAAACCTCTTGCATAACAATGGCCACTCTGGATTTGCTAACGGTACCTCAGGAGCTCTGCGTGAGACGGGTGTTATCGAGAAGCTGCTGTCATCATACGGTTTTATCCAGTGCACTGAACGTCAAGCCAGACTCTTCTTCCATTGCTCACAATACAGCGGCAATCTGCAAGATCTGAAAGTGGGAGGTGAGAAATGGTGCTGATGGCACAGATAATATATCAGCTCTGGCCATTCACAGAAGCTTTCTGATACGTTTGTAATTACAGTGTTTGTGGAGTGGTATCACTCATTTATAGGGCTGATGGAAATAAGAAAATGTCTATTAGTTTATGATATTTCGCAATCCGTCAAATGAATTTCAATGATGATTGAATTTGTACAGTCCTGCAGTTTAGTGGTTAGAGCACTCACCTCGCAAGAGAGAGGATCTGGGTTTGATCCCCAGGCAGAGCAAAATGTTAGGCAAGTTTCCTTGCTCCGTACGCACCTGTTTACCTAGCAATAAGTAGGAAGCCGGTTGTTAGTTGATTTGCGGATTGCTTTTCCAGGGGTAATAATCCTTCCAAAAAAAATTAATAATAATTTGGTCCCTTAATCCACGACTGTTTGTGTGGCGCTGCTGTGTCCAATTGGCTGCTGCATTTTGCCCACAAAATTAACAGTCAATTCACTTCACTAGTATATTCTTTGGAGCCCTTGGGGCCGTCTCAAAGACGTGGTAAGGCTCTATATCAAAATGCAAAGATTGTTATACAAAACAGGATTGGCAACTACAAAAAATCCAGTTTCTGCGTCAACTGGTCACAATTGATATGCAAATCTTGACAAAAGCGCAAACCTGTTAAATTTAGCACAAGATAATTGGCAAAATTGCAGCATTCAAAAATTGATATGACAGGGGCCCAAAAGTTAGCCATTTTTGCCGAATTTTTTAAAAAAAAACACGGAAATAGTCAATTTCCTGACGTGGAGTTTCTCCCAGTGTCCTGGCCAACAGTCCCCTAAATAAAATTGGGTATTCTCCATGGCTGTGTGCAAAATTGACTGCAAAGCTTACCTAAAAATACATAGCATTTAACTGTATATCCTGTAAAATTTTAAGAAGTCATCGTGATGTGATAGGTGCAATATCAAACGTAAGGATTATTTTGTACATTGATGCCAAACGCTGCCACTATACTTAATTATTTTGACTTGCTGCCTGGCTATCAAATAACTAGATGAGATGCAGCTGATCATTAAAGATTGAAGTCGCCTTGTTTTTCCCTATCATCTGGAGCCCTGTAGCTCAGTGGTTAGAGCATTCACCTTGCAAGCGAGCGACCTGGGTTCTATTCCCAGCAGGGCGAAATATTGGGCAAGTTTCCTTACTCCTCACGCCTCTGTTTATCTAGCAGTGAGTGGAACCCGGTTGTTAGTCGATTGGAAGATCGCTTTTCCAGGGATAATAATCCCCACAAAAAAGAATAATTTGGTCACTCAATCCACGACTGTTTGTGGGACACTGTTGCGCACAGTCGGCTTCTGCATTTCACCCACAAAATGTACAGTCAATTCACTCTACAGTATATTCTGTGAAGCGCTTTGAGACGTCTTGTAGATGACGCTGTATCTCAAACGCTATATCAAATATTATTATTATAACCACCTCTGGAACATTGTCAGTTATGTCCTTACTTTACCCCAATGCTGCTCGTACCCTTAACTATGCATATGTCATCTCAAGGATATTTTTTCAATGTTCTTTCTGCTGGTCTTCCCAGTTTCACTCCAGAACCTTCAACCGACAGCCTGATTCTCCCCTGTACTAGGCTTTGCATGCAAATTACTCCTTCATCCTCGCCCAACTCCATTGGCTATGAGGACATCCGAGGATAGAGTTTAAGGATCCTTATCTTGGTCTCAGTCCCTTTGCAATTTCACCCATACTTACCCGTGTAATTTTCTCCAGGCAATACTCTTTGCTTTTCCAAATCTGCTACATTGGTTACTGCCTAACTTCCTTTGCTCCCATCATTTGTGGCTGAGTGCTCTGCACTTGGAAATTTTCTTTCAGCCTTGACTTATTTATTTCCCTCCTTCCCAAAACAATTTTGACCCTTCTTTGTTTTAACATTGTTTTAATTTAGCTTCCCTGACATTGTTTGTCAAGTGCTTTGAGATATCTATCACACAAATTGTGCTATATTTAAAATGTTGTATTCAAATAACCTCTCGAGTAAAAAAAAAAGTAAAGACTGCACTATGCACAACGAGTTACCTTTATGATCTCTGTCTCTATAGATGATGTGGAGTTTGAAGTATCTTCTGACAGACGGACTGGGAAACCGATTGCTGTGAAACTTTTGAAGGTGAAGCCTGAAATCTTACCCGAAGAGAGGATCACTGGACAGGTATTGGTCTCCATATGCACTGCTTCTTCATAGATCTGCAAACAATTTTGGACCGAACCCCTCGTGATAACTTGCCAAGTTGGCGCTCTTACCATAAAATATTTAGTGGCTATTCTGTGAAATTATAGTATTGATTGCAATGTTTCAATGCACTGTCTGTTGCATTACAATGCAGCTCAAATTCGAGTAGAATTCTTAATCCATTAACTCAGTGTTTTGGTGTGAAATGCCTTAAAGTGTAAAACAGGTTTTTGAAAACTGTCAGAATTGCTTTTACTTTGCAAGATTGGATGAGTATTAATTGATGAGTGGGGGGTGGGGGGTAGTGATTTAAATTCTTTCTCCTCCACGTACCATTGGTAGCCCTTTAGACCAATTCCACAAGGGATATTTTATTTTGGATGCTTGCCCCTTTCATAGATCACCTTTTTGCACTATCCACATGCTGAAGAGATTCTCATCTGTTAGGGGTTGGTCTAATTTTGAGACTCTGCTTTAGTTGCTCCACTGTAATTTCACTTTCACCGATATTCAGAACTGGATATGTTTTGAAGCAGGCTTAGCCAGTCACCAGCTTTGATCATTAGCTTGTGTTATAGGCTGCAAACATCATGCAAGCTGAACAAATTCTGCTCAGACGTTTGGGAAAGGTCTTAAAAAATATGTTGCGCAAGGTAAAGAAACTGCAGGATTGGGTGACAGAACTGACAGTATCAGAGGTAGCCTTATTTGTTAAGTTTATCTTGTGTATCCTTCCTAATCTTATACTCTCGGGGACAACTTTTACAAGTACCAGTTGCATGTCAAATTGGAGCCACTGTACAGGCCTCGAGCTGCGATGACTAGATAAAGGTAAGCTTTAAGGACATGTATTTTATGTCCTGCATCATGTGTTCCCTTCTTGCATCATGTTACATAAATCTTCGCCCACTTTGCTGTTTCTCCTCTCAGTTATGTTTGCAGGACTTCTCGTAAACTTTTTCTGTTTTCTATTTTTGACTTGCTTTCAAATTTGAGAGCATCAGCTACTGTGAAAAGCCCTAGTTGTATGCGAAGACTTGCAACATAGTAATAACATGGCAACAAAGAGCTTTCCTATATTTAAGGTGCCTTGTGACTGTTCACAACTTCACATTCTTCTCAAATTCTATGGAAAGTCCAAAAGGAGAGCATTTCAACTTGAACTGGAAACTCATGATAGTGGATGCAACTATAACCAGCATGGTTAAGGAAAAAACCTTACCAAATCTGCACCCACATTTTCCCTTTCCTTCACTTCACTGCAAGACACAATTGGAGAAGAAACATTGAGAAGTTATGCTGTTGATGCACTGGCTCAAATACTGTGTGGGAATCCAATATGCACCAGCATCAGTGCTTCATTATTGAAGATTGCATCATGTAAATGTAAGCTGAAATTCAAAACGCCTTTTGGGGAACACGAAGCTCTAGGTGCTTTGGACTTGACTGGCCAGGTGAATTGTCAATGGACCAAAACTGTACAAGACTGAGGTTGTACAGACACAATAGACTAGTTCTGCTTATATGGCAATCGCAAAATCATTGGCAAGCCAAATGCTTCCATCTTGAGCGCTGCAATGCTTGCATTAGAAGAACTTGGGTTGTGGATGGTGAAGGAGGAGGAAGGGTCTCAAAGAGTTTCAGATGTCACACGCAAAAAATAACTTGCGCAAGTGTTGGTGACATCAGTAAGGACTTAACAGCACTGGAGACTCTTCCACAACAACTTGAGAGCTGACTATTCTGGAACCTCCCTGTTAATGGTAGGAACTTTTGGTCATGTAGAGCCTGTTCTAGTTTCTGACACTTATTGGAAGATGTGTTGTGACTAAACTTTGAGACTGGTTTAGGCTCTTTCTCTAGCCTGAAGATACAAGATTAATGAAAGAATTGCATGCAAGTGTTAATGAACTCTGCTCATTGGCTCATCTCTTAGGAGCTGGACTAGTAAAAGTTGAGTATTTTAAACCAGGCTTGTTTTCATTTTGCTGTGGTACCTTTCCAGTAATACATAATCCCCATTAAGAAAAAGAAGGTTTTTACACTTTCATTAGCATGATTCTTTACTCAGTCTAGCATAAGATTTCCTGACTAAGACTGTCCAGAGACCTTTTAACTGGCTAGAGGTTCAAACTGCCTTTATAATCTGGATGTATCTTAGAAAAAGTCAAGGTATACTACATAACGTATATGTACTTTCACAGCCCAACTTTGGGTTGGTACTCAGATATGGCCTGTAATTTTGTTGACTCTCGGTAGACAACAACAACAACTTGCATTTATATAGTGCCCTTCACACCGGGCAGAGTCTTGAAGCTCTTAACAGTGTCGGAGGCAAGAGGTGACCATAAGCATGGTCGAAGAGGAAGTCTTCAGTTAAGATCTAAAAGAGGGGAAGGAGGGGGCAAGGTGGAGACATTGGGGGAGAGAGAGTTCCAAAGCTTCGGAGCATAGTGGCTGAAAGCGCATCCACCGGTGGTGGAACGGAGAACATGAGGTACAAGCAGGAGTCCGGAGGCAGCAAGTGGAGTGGGGAAAAAGCACATCAAAAACATAGGACGGTGCCAGGGTGTGAAGAGATTTGTAGACAAGTGCGAGGAGTAGACGGACAGCATGCTTCTGTATGAACACTGGCTTGTGAGCATTAGACCTGATAATGGGGCTTTGCCCCTCCCCAGGCATGATGTGGACTAGGTTATGAAAGGTCTAATCATTTGCCTTTAATATCACGAAAGGGTTATTTTATGCTTTTAGATCTACATTGTTTATATTTTTCTCTTTTGTTCTCTCTTCCTTTTTATTTCTTTAATTTTCTTTCTTTGTTCTTCTTACACACATGGAGGAAATGGAGTATGGAGGAAATCCAGGTTTAGTGATTCACCCATTGACTAAAAGAGGCACTATTTTTTATGGCCTGAGGTTTAATGGGGGAAAATGTGGATGGGTTGGGAAACCTGTAGAGTTGATTTTGCAAGTGAGAGAGCAAGTCAGAGGAAGAAGTAATGTCCACAGCACAAAAGTTAGATAGATAAGTCATATCCGTAACTTTGATAAGCGCATAGTTTGCTTGGGTGTTTCACTGGGTGTTTCCTGGTACATATTTCTCTTTCCCCTCTCTTTCTCTTCCCCCCCCCCCCCACTACCACCACCTCCCATCCGTGTAAGTTGGCATTTAATACCGTACCAGGGGGGATCCGATCTTTTGGCCGCTGAGGGCCGGATGCCCTAATTGAGAAACGTCCACTGGTCGTATAAGCAATATTTTTGTGTTTCCAGCCCGGAAATGTAATGGGTTATGGAGGGCAGGTGGGCCAGATGAAAAGTGAATTTGACTGTATATTTTGTGGGCAAAACCTGGCAGCCAATTGCGAACAGTAATGTCCCACAAACAGTCGTGGATTGAGTGATTTTTTTTGGTTGTGGAATTTTAAGTACGAATCCAGAAGCCATAGTCGAGAATATGAATTCAACGAGTCATTTGTGAAGGCCTTGTGTACTACAGCTACAGCTAGTACGGCTAGTCGTTTGGCTGCCAAATTATGTAATTACCATCCGCATGGTACATGAGCTCTTCACAAATAACTCTTGTTGAATTGGCGTTCTCTGATAGTTGTTTAGGTGGACCTCAGGTTTTTAAATATCCAGGGTCATTGGAAAGGTGACAAAATGGAGTCAGGCTAATTCTAATTGCTTATTTAGCTTCCATTAGAGTTCAACGAACAGTGAAGAGTGTCCTTTGCTTCCCAGAAGGGAGGAGATTGTGGTATGCTCCTCTCCTGATTGTGTTTTGAAAAGGAGCGATTGAGGTCAATTTAGGTTTGAAAGAATCCACTACTCATTGCATTTGTTGCCAGGGTAGTTTCCTTCTATGTGTACAATCGCTGTAGTTTTACGTGTATGATTTAGAAGACGGTGTGGAACTTTGTTCCATTGTGATGTATAATGTCTAGAACCTGTATTTTGTGCTTCCATCAGTCGGTTTAAATTGGGAATGTGGGTCAGTGTCTGAATGTATGCAAGGATCACAGAGTAACAGTGGCCATATAGGCCACTATAGCTTAGTTATGGTACTTCACCTCTAGAGCACCCTCAGAATAGTGCAGTTTTCATGGTTTTTTGGCATCCGCCGGGGAATGAGAAGCATGTTTGTACAGAATCATCTGGATCTGAGCAGACCTCTGCTTAGTCACAACCTGAGTTAAAACTGTTGTCTGAATTTCATTGGCTTTATGTCAGAATTTGTACCTCTTATTTCAGCATAAATCAAGTTTATATAACAACAACTTGCATTTATATAGCGCCCTTTACACGGATTAGTGTCCCAGAGTACTTGATAGTGGTGGAATCTGACCCCGAGCCAGAGGGTCAGAACCAGAAAGGTGACTGTAAGCATGATCAAAAAGGAAGTAATTTAGACGGGAGGGGGCAAGATGGAGGGATTGAGGGAGAGAGTTCCAGATTTTGGGGGCATAATGGCTAAAGGCTCGGCCACCGATGTTGGAGTGGACGAGGGATGAACAGGAGGCCAGAGCCGGCCAAGTGGAGGTAACGGGTGGTGGAGTGAGGGGGGGTAAGCAAATCAGATAGGTAGGGAGGTGCAAGGGCATGAAGGGATTTGAAAAGAAGTGAGAGGATCTTGAAGTTGATCCACTCAGTAATTGGGAGCCAGTGCAGCCTGGGAAAGACTGGTGTGATGGGTGTACAGGGTTTTGTGTGAGTGAGTATCCGGAGGTGAAGTTCTGGATTAGTTGAATTTTGTGTATGGTGGAGTTGGGGAGCCCAGCAACGAGGGCATTGGAATAGTCTATCCGAAAATGACAAAGGCTTGGATGAGGGATTTGGCTGCTTTGGTTGTGAGGTACAGGCAGAGGTGGGTGATGTGGAAGAAAGTGATCCTGGTCAGAGAACGGATGTGGGGCAGAAAGGAAAACTGGGGATCGAAACTGACACCTAAGTTGCGCACAGGTTCAGTGAGTCTGAGGGAGACCCTGGGGAGGTTAAGGAGTTCAGACCCGCAGGAGACAAGACGTTGACAGGGCCCAAAGAATATGGCTTCTGACTTGCCACAATTCAGCTGCAGGAAATTTGAGCTCATCCAGGCCTTGATGTCCGTCAAAACAAGCTGTCAGGACATCAGCAGACTGGGAGTCGCAGCTTGCGGAGGGGGAATAGATTTGGGTGTTATCTGCATACACGTGGAAGTGGACCCCGTGTCTGTGGGTGACTTCGCTGAGAGAAAGAGTATGTAGATGATGAAAAGAAGAGAACCAAGCGTGGAGCCTTGGGGTATCCTGCAGATGACTGCGTGGGAACAGAAGGAAAAATCATTTGCCGAGTTGTATTGTTGGTGGTTAGTTAAGTAGGACTCAAACCATGCGGGTGCGGTTCCACTAAGGTGGTTGAGAGTGTAGAGATGGTAGAGGAGAATGACGTGATCAACTGTGGAAAGGTCAGGGAGAATGAGGAGGCAGAGGGAGCCTTGGTCACAGAGAGAGGGAACATCAATTGCTACATTGACGGGCGCTGTCTTTGTGCTGTGAGCAGTGCGAAAATGGACTGGAGGGGTTCAAATAGGGAGTGGAGGGAGAGGTATGAACAAAGTTGGTTTTCAGCGATGCATTCCAAAACTTTGGGCAGGTATACATAAAATTCAAATCAAGGTGGCTTTCTGAAACATGAATAGTGCTTCTCTGGGCAGAGAGAGCAAGTGTTGATTTCATATTTTCCAGAAAAGTAAAAGTTAAAATGGCTAATAGAGAATAGTTATCTTATTTCTTGTTATTACCAGCTTGTGGAATACGAAGCATGTGTGGATCATTCTGCAACAGCTTTAATTGGGGGTGGGATGATAATGTTTTGTTCAGGGTCGCATGGTACAATCTTCCATTTTCACTATATATAATTTGATAGTGTATTGCTAATGGGTACGGGCATTGGTTAAACCTTTTCGCATTGGTTTCAAATAGCTTAGGGCCTTCTAATGTCTTTACCTCTTAAGGTTTTATGGGGGGATGACACATTGTGTGTGAAGGACAATGAAAGTGTCTATTTAGGGTTCTCCAAAGTTCCCCTTTGTACTAATTGAAACGTCGCCCAATAGTCAGTACCTGTTTTTTTGTGCATTATTCCAAAGGTTCAGTATCACGTTTAATTGTGTTTTTTTAAAAAAGTTGATCATAGTTTTATGAATTAGTCAAAAGGTTTATTTCTTTTCTGGATTACCTGACATACATGACATACATTTATGGTAGATGTCTTCGTAGACTTTTCAAGAGGAGAGGAAAGGCAAGAGAAGACAGGAATACCTTATACCTTTAGGATGTATGAAAGGGGCTTGACACATCTCTTAAAGGGGCAGCATCTAGTGATAACCCTATTGGATTGCCTTATTCCCCCCCCCCCCCCCCACCCCATGGTATGTGGAGGACAACTTTATTTCAGGAATGAGGGAAAACTATACCTAAAGGTATGTAACCTACCTTTTTGTAATAGCACAGCACCTGCAAGTTTCTTACTGTTGGTGCTACAGTGATGTGTTTCCTGGCAGTCACTGGCCTTGTAAGAGTTTAATTATTGTTTTGCCATCTCATGAGATGATCAGGAAATCAGGGGTTGAAAAAAAAGTTGAGTGTTGTGGTTTAGGAACTATCACTAGCTATATTTTTGGGACCTTGGACTGTTCCAGGTCTGACCACTACTGTTTTGATGCCATATTACTGCTACTATATAAGTGTGCTATATAAATAAGACACTTAGTGGCAGGAATCTGGTGCTATAACAGTAGAAGATTGTGCAGTCTCCTCACCCATCCATAAGAAAATGGAAGAATATTTTCTGATGGTCTAATCCCTAAAATACTAAGCCCTGGGCCTTGGACAACTGGAATTTTCAACCCCTGGAAAGCCTTTGTTTACCCTCTTGACACTGTTCTTTGTTATGTCATGGTATGTCCAGGTTGTCTCTGCTGCACCTTTTAACCTTGAGAACAAATCTGGGCTGAAACCGTCATCTCCTGGTCAGACTTCAGGCAGTGTGTGCTATGAACGCAATGGGGTAAGATTTGATTTCGTCTTTGCAGGTAATGATCTTCAGGTTGGGTCACCCATATAGAGACACTTGGATTTTGCCTTGCATGTGTACATGGCAGCCAGGTTGTCTTTTTAAATCGCATGGCTCCCATAGTGTAGGAACTCCCGCCCCATAAAAATAAATACCATACCCCAATAACTATTTGTTTCTTTCTTTTGGCCTAACTGGTTAGTTTAGCCTCTTTTTATATATAAAAAAAACAACTCCTGGATGGTAGAATAAGCCTTGCTTTAGTGGTACTGTGATTCTAGATATCTGTATGACTTTTAAAGGGTCCCAAGTTTCAAGCTATTAGTTTTTAAGACTGATCTGTTTCATTATATGAGTTGTAGAGAGTTCTTCTACATTGCAGAAATTGACCCACAGTTGAGGTTTCCAGTACTTGCTGTGCTTGACATTAAGCATTTGAAGGATTGCCTTTTTTGTTTTTGTTTAATTCATATACTTATCTTGTGCCTGGAAAACTTGTAGACTACTAATCAGGCAAAGACGTCAGCATCTTACTCACACCACTGCAGATCTATAGTCAATAAGCTCCAGGGTGTTGCTTTTTAAAATGGGGTCTTTTTCTATGAAAATATCCAATACAGAGATTTTCAGTGAAAATCTAAAATTTGCTGTTGAAAGACATGGCTACATACTTTGGAGAAGGTATTCGGTCTGGCCGAAGTATCTTTCAATTTATTGTCTTATACTGAGATGATTCCTGTCAAATATTGACCATGCTGTGAATGCTTCATCCACGCCTAAAATCTTTCCTTTTTAAGCAGTGAGTTTTCACTGATGATTTTCAAAGTTCCTCTCTTGGCCTAATAATGTTGTTCTCTTCACTTCCCCCTCCCGACCCACGCATAGAAAGGGGCACTCCCAACAAATCTGTTTGGAAGGGATCCAGTAGAAGTCAGTATCTGGAAGGGTCTCTCACAGAGATCTATTTTAAATGTCCTTTGAAAAGATTGCTTAAGAGGCCTGCTTTGCATCTTTAGACCTGAAGAGATGCTTGATATCCTGATAGGCACAGCAGGCTTTTCTTGCCTTGTGGGAATTTGATGCCGACTACCAAGGTCTTGTATTCAGTTCATTAAAAGGTTTTCGAGCATTTAAGTTGATATGATTCTTCTCTAGATGAGTGAGAAACAAATCTTGCCTGATAGTAAATGGGATTTCTGGTAATACTAGCACTTCTCTTCATTACTGAACTTCCTTCATTTTATATTTTTGGGCCAGATAATAAGTTTGATCTAAGCATGATTGCTCTTGCTCAGATCAGTGAACAATTTTGGCTTCCTATCCACATTGAGGTTCCATAAATGGTTCTCTGTCAAGTCCCAATAGCATTGATCAGAGCCATCGCAACTTAATCCAATCCGTCAGATCTTGTGCAAGTTTTCAACAAATCATTCAGTGGATGAAGTGCAGAGTGGCTGTTTGGAAGAACCATCACAAATATGGTCAAGGCTGCTCCACATCTGCTTGCAAAGAAGCTTGAGCAAAAACGAGTCAAAATGATTGAAGGCTGGATTCCTGCAGAATGGTAAACTGAAGTCCAGAATGATAAACTGAACCCCACGCAAATGGGCCAGGACCGGATACGGCCATTATGGTCCAACCAGTAGGTTTCAAAGTTTGAAGACTGATGTGAATGAAAACATTTTTTTTTAAAAAAAAGGCTCTTCTGCTATATGGAAGCCATTCCTTTTTGTGCAATTGTCAGTGGACAAGGTTCTAAAACTCTGCAAGAAGGGGGCGAAAGAGGGTAAATCCATGATCATTTGACATTTGTTCTTCCAAAGACTCATCGCCTTGCCAGGACAACACAGTTATAGGTCCAATATCTGAGGCTACATTAAGTGAAATATGAGAAATGGCAGACTTCCGGGTTGTCAAGTTACCACTGGTGTTGCTTCCTACATCTTATATGCAAGAAGCATCACTGATGTTGTTTCCTTTGTGGTGTTAGCTGAACTTCCTGTGCACAGCACATGGGAAGTGCTGCTAGCCATATACATATACAGGAATTGACCGGTGACCTGAAAACCTGGATGGACGTTTTTATAATAAGCATGTGAGAAGCAGGTAGTTGGTGCCAAAAGCTGGGAGTATCACGCTTCTTGTTAGCACAGGTCCACAGGACACCAGAGCTATAAAAACAAAGCTGTGCAATAACTAAGTTGGTCTTCAACCTTTGGGTGTCCTCACTACCTTGTACTTCTGCTGTAAAATTATCCTTTCATAGATATGATGATCAGCAGTTTAGGCACAATCGTCTTTCAGGCCAAGGAGACTTCTCCCTCCACAACAACAAAATTACATTTATATAGCGCCTTTTAGTCGGGAGGATGTCTCAAGGCACTGGACAGTCAGTGTTTCGGACCCGAGCTGGGAATCGAGAGGAGGGGGGTGAAGGGTGACCCCGAGGTTCCGGACTGGCTTAGCAAGGTGGAGTGAGCATCCTTAGATGGTGATGCTGTCAGCGCCTGAGGTGAGGAGGCGCTGAGGGGAGCCAATCAGGAGTGTCTCGGTCTTGTTGATGTTCAACTGTAGAAAGTTTGCTCTCTTCCAGGCTTGATGTCTGACAGATATTCTGTCAGGACAGCAGTGGGTCCTGGAGTTGAGGGTGGAGGCAAGAGGTAGATTTGGATGTGATCCACATACATGTGGAAATTGACCCCATGTCTGCAGATGATGTCACCAAGAGGGAGCATATAGATATTGAAAAGGAGGGGACCAAGGACAGAGCCCTGAGAAGCTCCACATGAGACTGTGTGGGGCCTGGAGGAGAAGCCATTTGTGGAGATGAAGTGTAGACGTTGTGAGAGGTAGGATCTCAACCAGTCAAGGACAGAACCATGAAGGTTGAAGTGAGAGCAAAGATGGAGGAGGATAGAGTGGCCAATGGTATCAAAGGCAGCAGTGAGGACGAGGAGGTAGAGGGAGCCCTGGTTGCAGATGGACAAAATGTCATTTGTCACTTTGACCAAAATTGTGCTGTAGGCGGCACGGAAACCCGAATGGAGGAGTTCATGAAGGGAGTGGCGGGAGAGGAAGGAGAAAAGCTGGGAAGCAACGACTCGTTCCAGGACCTTGGAAAGGAAGGTTGGAGATGGGTTGATAATTTGAGAGCAGGGAGGGTTTTTAAAGGATAGGTGTGATGACGGCTGTTTTAGAAGGGTGGAAACAGTGCCAGTGGATAGAGTGCCTGTGAGAAGGTGGAGCGGAGAGGGATAGGGATGGGGTCGAGTTTCTTGTGGTTTATAGTGGCAATGAGAGAGGAGGGGAGACAGCTTCGAAGTGTGGAGGGAGCAATGGCTAGTGGCCGGGGTTTGAGGGGGAGATGGGGAGGGGGTAGTGGTTGGAAGGGCAGAGGCAGCTGAGGGGATCCCCTCGACTTTGGCTTTGAGGAAGTCCAGCATCTCCTTGAGGTTGGTGTTGGAGATGAGGATGGGTGAGGTGTGAGAGGGAGGGTGGAGGAGCTGGTTGGTGATGGAGAAGAGGAGCCTAGGGTTGTCCTTGGCATCCAAGATTGTCTTGAAGTAGAAGAATGTTTTAGCAGAGGCCGGAGCGGTAAGATTTGATAAGGTCCAGCCAAATCTGCCGATGGACTGATAAGTAGGAGTTCTGGCCAGGCTCCACTGCCTTCCCATCACCAAATGGATTGACTTCAAGATCCTCACACTTATGTTCAAATCCCTTCACTCTCTGGCACCTCCCTACCTCTCTGACTTCCTCACTCCCCAGTCCAACACACGGAGCCTCCGTTCGACTAACACTGGCCTCCTGCTCGTCCCTTGCACCCTCCACCCCACCATCGGAGGTTGTGCTTTCAGCCACTATGCCCTGAAACTCTGGAACACTCTCCCTCAGTACCTTGCCCCCTTTCTCCCCTTTTTCAAGTCCCGCCTGAAAACCTTAAAGCGCTCTGAGACGCTACCCTGCGTGGAGGGCGCTATATAAGTGCAAGTTGTAGTTGATTTGAGCCAGGTGCATTCAGCGGCACGTACCTGAGCCTTAAGTAAGTGGCGATGGCTGGTGTACCAGGGTGACTTCCATGAGTAGAAGACGGCTTGGGCAGTGAGGGAAGCAAGGGAATCGGAGTGGGGGCGAGGGAGTTGTGGATGAGAGTGACCGAGGAGACTAGGTCATTGCGGGAGGAAGCCCAGAGTGGGAGGAGTTCAGGTGACTCTAAGACAATGGGGTGGGGGGGAGAGAGATTTCTTTCTAAGAGCGGTAGGAGATGATGTGGGTTGGGGGTGGTGGTGGGGAGAGGGATTAAGGAGTTAAGGGAGATGAAGTAATGGTCCGAGATGGCTTTGTTGGTGATGGTGAGTTCTGAGTTGCTGAGTCCCTGGGTAATCACCAGGTTGAGTGGGTGGCCATGGATGTGGAGGGAGAGATTAGGACAGGAGAAGCCAGAGGAGACAGTAGGAAGGGGGTGAAGTGCAGGTTGAAGTCGTCGAGGATGAGGAGGTGTTCAGAGCAGAGGGAGAGGGAAGATAGGAGGGTGGAGATGTCAGAGAGGAAGGCGGGGGAGGGTTTTTGGGGACGATAGAAAAGGAGGATTTTGAGGGAAAGGTTGGAGGGATGTTAGAGGAAAAGGTTCTGGAGGAGTGAGGCGATAGGTCGAGTGGGGACTGGGAGATGAGAACCACACTGCCACCTCGCCAATTTATTAAAAAAAGGATAAATTCTTATAGGACATTTAATAATTTGAACCTGCAGGTCAGAACTTTTCCTAGATTTAGCAATTTCTTAGTGAACATTTATAAACAGTAGAACCCGTTTATAAGGTGGCAGTTGGAAGTCCATTAAATCCCAGGCAGCCTTAAAATTAGATGTATTCTCTACTCATCACATCTACATCATAATATCAGTGAACATATGAAATTTGGCTAAATTCATGTTATCAGGTTGTCCATTCTGTCCAGTTCCTGGTTACTGCACATCAGACCCCATTATAATCAAAGTTATAATTGGGTTCTAGTATAAAATGAAAACATTCCAGCAGTCTAATGGAAGAAATCATTGGGGATGTCACAGCCAATATCAAATATCTATATGATCTTCCATAGTAAAGCAATCATTAAATGAGGGAACACCTCATATCTCATATTGTGTATTTTCCAACTGATCTCAAAACTATTTGAATCTTAGCCTAAATTATTGTCAGTGAATTAATGGAAGCAAGGATATTTCTTGTAATCTCTTGTAATCTACTCACACTGAAAACTGTTCCGATATCTTCTAATGAATTATGAGCTTGCTAAAATGATTACGGTGGGAGTTTTCATTTATTTGGTAAAATAAGTCCCAATGTACCCAACTGGTGGGTAGTTTATATTGTGAAGCATGGGTCATCTGGGATGGAGGTGTCTAAGATAAGTAGTCATTTATAATAGACAAGTTCTGAGAGGAGAAGCTGCTTCAAGTGCCACTTCAATGTCAAAGAGCACAATGAAGTACTACAAAAATCTACAGTTAATTGAATTTAAATAGTACCCTTTACGTGGGGTAGCATCTTGAAGTACTGAAATGTTGACAAACAGGGCTTTTGCAAAATAGCCACTAAACAATAGTTTTCTCTAATTGCAATATTTTGTTTGATCTTGGAATTCCAGGGTGCAGATTTGTCTATGTACGTGGTGCAAGCTATGTGGAACAAGATGAACAAACTTGGTTATTACTCGCTTGGTTATTACTTGGTTATTCTCTGTTATTGTCCTTGCAAAGTTAATTCTTCCCTGGACCAAATACCTAACTTGTTGTTTGTGAGCTCCTGTGTATGGCTCTTCTGTTGTGTTCTTTTTGTAACAGCAGGCAAAAAAAAAACAGGCTTTTCTTGTTTTGTACAATCTACACTGGACACTCACTACATGGCTAGGTGTCAGCCTGGCTCAGTAGGTAGCAGTCTTGCCTCGGAATCAGAAAATTGTGGGTACATCAGGACTTTGAGCTCACAATGCAGGTGCTGGGTGTGTGGCATTGTTGGAGTGCCTTCCATCAGATGAGACGTTAAACCTGTGGGATTGGACTTTTCCCTCCGATGCAGATCGGTTTACAACCATTCTCTTTGTGTAATATACTCCACACTATCCCTAGCTACACTAGTTGCTTAATATACCACACACTGTCCCTGGCTACACTCCCAGTCTTTCACCCTCTCTGTGCAAAACAATAACTTCACTCCGAACAGCATCTTCGAGCACCGTAAATACACTCCTCCGGATGAGATGTTAAATCGAGGCCCTGTCTGCCTGTTCAGGTGGATGTTAAATATCCCATTGCACTATTCGAAAAGAGAAAGGAATTTCTCCTGGTATTCTGGCCAACAGTCCCCCAAATAAAATTGGTCACTCACTAGATGGCTGTTTGTGGAACATTGCTGTGTACAAATCGACTGCTGCTTTTGCCGTCAAAATGCACAGCCACCTCACCTTATAGCATATCTTGTGAAGTGCTTTTAAGACGTCCACCCAATGTGAAAGGTGCTATGCTTGTTATTAAATCCAGGACTTGTCCTAAGTGTCACTAAACCTAGGGCCAGTTTGTTTGTTAAAGCCCTACTCAAAATTAGGGATTTTTTTTCCCTGGTGTCTTGGCCAAAAATTCCCCACGGAAAATTGGTTATTCACTTCATAAACTGCTTCTGGGACTTCGCTGTTCACAAGTTAGCTACTGTATTCACCTATAAACTATTCACTATACATTGTAGTGAATCCTGTGAAGTACAAATTAGGAACAGGGTGATCTCAAAAAATCCATTTAGATTTGTATTCAGCAAGGTTTCTACCCACACTCATACAGTTCTTTCCTGGAAATACATTTGTTGCATGGATACGCCTATGGCAATTTGGACCCACACTCTTTGGACTTATCTTGTCTCATCACCTCCTATAAAAAGAGGTTTGGGTAACCTTAAACTGAGGGTGGAAAATATCTCTCCAGCAGGGAAAACTCGCATGGAGGTTGAATGGAATTGTGAAGTTGCATCTCTTTTGGCGGCTTTGTTAGTTGGTGCTTCTAACTAAGTACAGATTTGAGAGAAAAGCTGGATTGATACTACCATGTAGGAGTATGCAATGTTTTTTATTAAACTAATTTGAAATGAAAAGGACTTTCTGAGAATTTTTGAAACTAGAGTAACCTTGATTTGTTGTACATGGTTTTATTTCCTTCGATTAATTATTTAAATAGTGAAACATCCTTGCTTTCAACAGTGACTGGAACCCATCCCTTCTTACACTTGCTTTGGTTACTTCTGATAGTAAAAAGTGTGTTTATGGGGACAAGGATTTGCAGGGGAAAGTTCAGTTCTGGCTGGGTAATTTAATGTGTTGTATGAGAAAGTATTTATTTTTATACCTTTAGTTTTGCCATATAGTAAGCTCCAGATATTTGTCAACTCATGTAATGCCAATGCAGGGGGCGATTAGTGACATGAACTGTATGTTTTTGCCCTATTGACTACTTAAACAATGACATCATTTGGGTGATGATCAGGCAATTGGCACAGTATGGGGAAACTTTTCATAGCAAAAATAATTGTAGCCTTAGCCATTTTAAAATTTAGTTCAAAGGAAGTGATCTTCAATAAGAATTTACATGTATATAGCTCCTTTCACATCAGGAGGACATCCCAAGGCACTGGATAGTCAGGTACTTGGACCCGAGCAGGGTATAGGGATCAGGAGGGGTCGAGAGTTGGGGTACGAGGGTGGCCAAATGTGCGGTCGACAGGATGGTCTTAAAGGAGGCAAGGGAGGGAACAAGGCAAAGGGACTATGGGGTGGAGTACCAAAGGGGTGGGGGCAGAGAGACTGAAGGCCCGACTTCCAATGGCGGGGCAGGCTGGAGTCTGCTGAGCAAAGCGAGTGGACAGGTCTGTGTGGGATCACAGAAATAGGAAGGAGCAAACCTGCGGAGGGCTTTGAAGACAAGGATGAGGATTTTGAACTCTATACTCTAGAGGATCGGGAGCCGAGTGGGGGTAATGGGGGTCATGGAGCCTGGTGCAGGTGAGGACGCGAGCTGCAGAGTTCTGGATGATCTGCAGCTTGCGGAGGGAAGAGTTGGGGAGCCTGACAATAAGGGAGTTTGCATAGTCGAGCCTGAATGTTATGAATGTGTTTATGAGGGTCTCGGCAGCCTGCGTGTGAGACAGCGGCAGAGCCGGGCAATGTTGTGGAGGTGGGGAAGGCAGAGCAGATCATGGAATGGATGTGGGGTAGAAAAGACAATTGCGGGTCAAACAACACACGTAAATACAACTTTTACCATTGTGGTTTTAACATTTATTTGTCCCATTAAACTTTAATTTGAAAGGCATTATCAGCATTCTTTTAACTTTCCATGATGGCTCCCAAAATCATTCCATTTCCGTTGTAGAACTCTGCAGAATCTTGCTTCAGACAGACAGGTCATTGCTCAAGTCTTTTGCAAATGGCTGTTAGTCATTTATAGACATAACTTCACAATTGGTATCACTGCATTTATTACAATTGGCTGAATAACTTTTGAGACTCGATCATAATTTCTTATCTTTGTCTTCAAAGAACATTTGCACACCATTAGAGGCATGAAATCTATTGTAAAGCTGTTGGAATTTATAAGCATATAATTGAACCAAGGAAGAACGTAAATCTAAGCCTTTTTTTTCCTCCCATGGTTTAGGAAGTATTTTATCTGACATACACACCTGAAGATGTTGAAGGAAACGTCCAGCTTGAAACGGGAGATAAAGTATCTTTCTCCATGGAAACAAATAAACAGTACGTATGGCCATTTCTTTTCTAAAATTCTCACTTTATATTTTACAGACTACGAATGAGCTATATACAAATGCTCCAAGCAATATTACTGCAAAATTCCTGAGGCTTTTAATGTTCCTAAAATATGTTTGAGGTGGCATTTTCTTAAAACACTTATTTATTTAATAATTGACCTGCTCCAACATCGGCAGCCAGGCCTTCAGCCTCTCTGCCCGCACCCCATGGAACTCCACCCCACATTCCTTTCACCTTGCTCCATTCCTTGCCTGCTTCGAGGCGCTTCTCAAAACCCTCTTCAACTGAGCCTTCGGCCACCCTCCTACCCCTGCCTCCCCCACCGCCCTTCCCCGATCCCGGCCCCCAACTCGGGTCCAAATCTCTGAATGTCCAGCACCTTGGGGCATCCTCCTGATGTGAAAGGTGCTATGCAATTGTAATATTGTATTGGTGGCGGGCCTTCTGCCACTTTGCCCCCATCCTCTGGAACTCCATCCTGCAGTCCCTCTGTCTCACCCCCTCCCTTGCCTCCTTCAAGACCCACCTCGAGGCCCTCCTCTTCGAACGTGCTTTCAATCACCTCGCTTCCCCCCCTCTGCTCTCTACCCTCCCCAATCCCGACCCTCAGGTCTGAAACACTGACTGTCCAGCACCTTTGGACATCCTCCCGATGTGAAAGGTGCTGTACAAATGTAATTTTATTGTATTGCTGCATACCTTGAGGATTGAAAGGACTGGGTTGAAGTTATGTAGTGCTGCTACAACATTAGTACTGTATCAACACAATTTACTGACCGGATTTAACATGTCTAGAAAATCAATAAAACCTATTAGAAATGCTGAAATTCATGAAGAATAATGATCTGTACAGCCAGTGAAAAGAACCCTAATAATAATAATCATTGCATTTGATATAGCGCCTTATCATACCTCCAAACTTCTCAAAGCACTTCACTGAATATACTGCAAAGTGAATTAACTGTATATTTTGTGGGCGAAACATGGCAGACAATTGCGCTCGCAGTGTTCCACAAACAGTCGTGGATTGAGTACCATATTATTATTTTTGAAGGGATTATTACCCACAGAAAAGCGATCCGCAATCGACTAACAACCGGGTTCCTACTTACTGTTAGGTAATCAGGCATAGAGTAAGGAAACTTGGCCAATGTTTTGCCCTGCCCAGGAATCAACCCAGATTCTCTCACTTGCGAGGCAATGGTTTGAAGCTCTGCTGACCACTGTTAGCATATAGGATGTATGGCTTTTAGGCAGAAGTCTTCCCAAATATATTGTAGAAGTTTCACAGAATTGAACTATCATTTTGGGAACCCTCTTTACTGCATTCCAATACCACTCAACTTGGTGAGAACAAATTGTTGGCCTGTGTCTTGAAAATGTAATTGAGAAACATACTTCAACCACAGTAGTTATGCACTTTAATTGTGGGATTCTCGTTTCCACCTGCCACAAAAGCATGGTTTGGATTGCCTGCCTCCCATGTGCTGTTTTTAGTCTGAATGCAAACTCACCACTGTATAAAGGTAAGCAGGTTGGTCAGCAACCAGATAATTAAGGCCTCGCCTGCCATGTATGGGTCATGTTGAGTCAGTAGGTAAAGTCGCCTTGAAAGTTCTAAAATCTGGCATCAGCGGTGTTCTGCTTTGGTTTTCAAGAGGTTTGATCCTTGGCATAGAAAAGGTGCAGAAATGGGAGTGGAAGATTGATGAACCAAAAGTAATCCTTGCATTTAATATAACACGTTTCATGTCCGGAGGAAGTCTCAAGGGGTTTACTATTAAAGTATAGTGTCTACTGCGTAAGCGAATGCTCTCCTATGTTTTTATTGTATCTCGGAGCTCATGAGAATGTGTTGGTGCTTATCCTTTGTGCTTCACCACCAATCATCTCCTCAATAGTTATCCTCAAGCCTCCTCCATCCTCTTCTCGAAATCCAATGACTCTTCAACTGCCAGTCCATCTCCAGTCTTCCCTTGTTACGAAAAATCCTGAAACACATGGTTGCTACTGAACTTTGCTCCCAGCTCGAACTGCTTGAATCCCTTCAATCTGCCTTGAAATTCAAATTTTCAAGACTGAGGTGGATAGATATTTGTTAGGTCAGGATATCAAGGGCAATGGAGCAAGGGGCGGGTAATTGAAGTTGTGGTACAAATAATCGAATGGAATGGCGGAACAGGCTTGAGGGACTGAATGGCCTCCTCCTGTTACTATGACAACCCTGGATGGAATTAGAAACTGGAGGAGAGCCCCTGTTAAGGCACCTTTCAATGTAGAGTTGTGTCACTTATAGAGTGGGACTAGTGTGGATACCAGGCTAACTAGAAGTGAAGTACACCTACCTTCATTCTGGACTAAACATACAATCACTACAATTCGTAGTAAAATCCTTTGAAGTTCTTTGAGATGTCTTGATGACTTGATAATGTGCTATGCCGAATGAAAGGATTAACATTAACAGAATTGTATTTGAACGTTAAACAAATATAGAATTTGAAATGACATTGCATAACTCATTCATTAAATGCACTCCAGTCTACTTGCACACAGCTCTCTGATTTACTCGGTAAAAACTGGGCAGGATCGATCGTAGGTTGTATCAGGTCCTGATTAACCTCTGAGACCTGGATTTCAAGGTCTCCTCTGGCTATAACGATGCCTGTGAAATTAGTTGGAATAGCTTCAACCCTCCTCCCTGTAAATGTAGGCTCATTGGAAAAACTACGTTTAGTGTGTCACTAACTTGGCGCTGTATTATAATAATAAAAATAGTGAAAACCTCTGGAGAGGATATTAACACTTACACACTTTACTTCCACAGAGTGGTTGTCTTATTGTACTACTACAACAAAATTACATTTATAGAGCGCCTTTCACATCGGGAGGACGTCCCAAAGCGCTGAACAGTCAGGTGTCAGGGCCTAAGCATGGGGGCGGGGTGGGGTAGGGGTGAGGGAAGGCAGAGAGGTGGGAGGGCGACTGAAGGCACGATCAAAGAGAAGGGTCTTGAGACCGGCCTTGAAGGAGGCAAGAGAGGAAACTAGGCCAAGGGACCGTGGGATGGAGTTCCAGATTGTAAGGGCAGAGAAGCTGAAAGCCCGGCCACCGATGGTAGGACGGGAGACATGGAGCAGACCGGAGCCCGATGAACGGAGGGAGTGGGCAGGTTGGCAGGGAGTCACCAGATCAGAGATGTAGGAGGGGACAAGGCCACGGATGGCCTTAAAAGTGAGGACGAGGATCTTGAATTCAATCCTCTGGGGGATGGGGAGCCAGTGGAATCGGGCGAGGGTGGGAGTGATGGGGTCGGGCGAGGGTGGGAGTGATGGGGTCACAGAGTCTAGTGCGTGAGAGGACACGAGCTGCTGATCATTTATAGTAAATGAGTGGCATTAACCTTGCTCTTTTGTTTGTTAGCACTGGTGCTGTAAATGCTCACAACATTTTACTCGTGAAGAAGAAACCAGGACGGTGTCAGGGTGTAGTTTGTGCCATGAAAGTAAGTACTTTTCTTTCAATCGTCTCAACTATTACTCTTGTCTTAATGAAGCATAATACACATTAGAAATGTAATGTACAGTGGAAGCCGGTTAAAACAGACACGTTGTTTAATTTGAAGCAATGTTAACTAACCAAACACACACACCACATTCATACACACGCTCGCACCCACTCACACACCATATTCACACACACACACACACACACACACACACACCACATTAATGCGCACACATGTACTCACTCGCTCAAACTCACAAACTCACACATACGCAGTTGGGAACAGTTTTAAACCCTTTCTGTAATCCAGATTATTATCGGGGAACTCAGCCCAGACTAGAGATCAAACCTGGGACTTTCCTGTTATTTGTGGATCAGCTGATTGCTGGATAAACTTACTCGGCCATTGGACACTGCACAGTGTTTTGAAATCTGTCATTTAATATGTTGCTATATATACACTCTTGAGTTGAAGTGTAAAGTGGAAAATTTCAATGTCACTGGTAATATGAATTTGGAGATGAACAGCTTAAGTATGGATCATGATTTTTATGGGTATGATGCAGACTTATATTAGCAGCACTTGTTTTTGGTGGTGGTGTCTGACACATGCAGAAATCCATCACTATGCTTATCAATAGCCACATTGGACTGAGTTTCATGTATGTATGGCACCTAACCATAGAAATATCCCTGAATGGAATGCAAAGTGAACTCTTCCTAGAGGGGAGCTCCCTGGAGGGACACCCTCTGCTTGCCTAATTCCAGGGAGTTGTAGGCACGCCATAGTGTAAGTTGGGGGACTGCTGGACTTGAGTCAACTAAGGCCTCACAACTTGCCATTAAGTGCTTCCCACGGCTTTTCCAGCTAGGATCACCCTGCCCTTTGGGGCTTTGGCTTGCGGGGTTCACAGGAGCTGAGTGAGAAGAATCCCTGCTCTCAGTGCCTAGTCTGCCCCTCCAAGTCCTGCTGGTGAGCCAGGCTGACTGGTTTGAAAATAGCAATGGTTTGCAATACTGTGGACGTGCCTGACTTAGGAACTGGACTATTGAGTTTACAGAAAGCTCACTAGATTCTGACTCTCAGTAGCAAGCATGTTGCCTCGAAATCACCTCAGCTGTAAGGAGATTCTGCTTCTCACCTTGTTTTGTTGCCACTGATTCAATGTTTGAAACTTCTTGCACAGAAAGTGATGTATTTAATGTAAACTCTCAACTGTCTTCTAGGAAGCATTTGGATTTATTGAAAGAGGTGACCTTGTGAAAGAGATCTTCTTCCATTATAGTGAGTTTAAAGGAAACCTGGAAACCCTGCAGCCAGGAGATGACGTGGAATTTACAATTAAGGAAAGAAATGTAAGTAGTTTAGTTTAACCATATCTATGGGGGGATAATTTCAGTCATTGGACACAAATGGAATCCAGAAGGTGTGTCAAAGCCAACGAGGTGGGGGAGAAGCAAAGAGTTTCAGTGCCAAAGTTCAGTTCTATTCCTTGAACCGGGCTAGCATCAAAATCCCTGAAATAGCTTGGTAATGTGCAAGGAGAAATCCTCTGAAGAGCCATATAATGAGAGCAGTACAATATATCAGCTTAGTGGTTCTCTAAGCACAGAGGCTCTTAAGAGATCCGAGGGGTGTTACTGATACCCCTCCCAGTTTTGTTGTGATCAGCTGTCCAAAAAATAGCTGGGTCTGACAACCACCTAAATATGCAATGTGACATTTCATTTTGTATTCTCTTTGCACAGAAGATATAGTGTTAGTATTGCAGTTGCTCCCTGTTGTAATGGAGCGATTTGAGTCCAAAATTGAGATTGATCAAGTTATGATAATCATCGCTGGACAATGTTCAATGTCACGTCGCTGCTGACTTCACTAAAACATGTTGCTTTCAGTCAGCCAGCTGGTTAATGGTGACGGCTCTGGTGAGCAATTCAAACAATGGTTGGGATATTGAGTTTTGTGTGGCTTTCTTGATGGCTATTGAGCAAAGGTAAAATGCTTCCACGTAGGCAAGGAAGATACATCTGAAAAGAAGTCAACATTAATTCCTTTTCCCTCATCTACTGTGTGTGCAAGTTCAGTTGATCAGACAGTGAGGTTTGAGGGAGCATCCTGGCAACTTATGTTTCTCTTTCTAGGGAAAAGAAGTCGCCACTGATGTGAAACTTTTGCCACAAGGAACCGTAATATTTGAAGATGTGAGCATTGAACTGTTTGAAGGAGTTGTCACCAAAATTATTCCAAAAGTAACAAGTAAAACCCAGGTAAGATTTTGATGATTGTTTCCCCATATTTATTTGATCTATAGTGGAATGGTCTGCCATAGACCAACTGGGTTGCTCTCTTTTTCACCCACCAAATTTTAGGTGGGTAAGATTTTATGATCCATCAACTAAGTGGCTATCTTTACTGGCCACAATATACAGTCAATTCACTTTACAGTATGTTTTGTGAAACACTTTGAGACGTCTTGAAGACATGATAAGGCTGTATCAAATGCAAGGATTATTATTTTGATCGGGGAAGGCAAGTGCTGTCCTGTGTGGACAGATATAGATATGCCTCAAATCACCCAAATTACCATTGATTTAGCTTCCTTCTTTGAAACCTGTAATTGCTGGGCATGTTTACAAAAATAGTGAAATTGCACGTTGTTCTGTTGCAGATCTGTTCTTTCCCCAAGTAAGCTATTGAACCGTCTCAATTCAGAAGGGTTCCTAATTGACCAATCCTTGGACAACTTTTGGGGGAAAAAAAACTTTTGTGCTTGTAAAAAGAATATTAAAATATTTCAAGTGCAATGATGTCATTTGAACAGGTTCTGCAATTGAACTTAAATTGGGCCAATTTGGATCAGCTGTGTGCACTCTCATTCCCACTTTACTGTGGCGTATACAGCTGTTCCTGACAGTAACTGGAAATGCTTCATTCTGACCTGCAAAGTGTTGCTGTGACCTGTTAGTGTCGGTGCTCACTGCCTGTGTCTTACGTTCTGAACATTGTGTTTTAGACCCCGTTATCCTAATTAATTTGAATTGCGATTATTGCATCTATCAGCTGGTGAGAAATGCCTCTAGCTGCAAAGTGACTTGCTCATAGAATTTTCCCATTGTATGTAATAATAATGTTTGCATTTGATATATATCATGTCTTGGAGCCGTCTCAAATCACTTCACAAAATATACTGTAAAGTGAATTGTCTATTTTGTGGGCGAAATGCATGTTGTAAGAATTTTTTTTAAGTATTCAATTTAACTCAAAATGACATGTAGTGTATCTTCACATGAATCAGATTTTGAATTCCACTTGTGGTTTCTGAAGAATAATACTAGGGATGAATGCACCTATTTGTAATGTTAGCAAATCTGACATTGCATTCACTGAATGGATGAAATTATTTTTATCTTTGACTATTTGTTTTGGTCAAGATCTATGCTGTGTGCATATAGTGGTTTCTAACCATTTGCTTATATAAAGCTCTGAACGGCTACACTTGTTTGTGTTTTGCAGACTGACCCTTTGCCCGGCCGCATTAAAGTGAACTTTGCAATTTCCAAAGAACTTCCCTTTGGAGATAAAGACACCAGATCCAAAGTGACCCTTCTAGAAAGTGACCATGTCAGGTTTAACATCTCCACTGATCGGCGGGACAAGCTGGAGCGTGCTACAAACATTGAAATCGTCCCGGATTCTTTTGAGTTGACTGGAGAAAGCAGAGAAATGGTAAATTGATTGCACCATGCCCTAATCCAATTCTTTGAAGGATGTAATACCTTAACTGCTGTATAACTGACTAGATACCAGTAGACTCAGGCAAGGTCATAGTGTCAGGGAAGTAAGTGTTTTCACTTCAGAGGTGGTTTCAGAGAAAGAGGCAGCATTCTGAGGAACTGGACTTGAAGCAAGGAGAAAGGTGCTAAAATTGGATATGATTCAATTCATCTGGGGTAATAAAACTAAGTACAAATTGCAGAAGGTGCCTGGAAACCTGTGGAATGTGTACAGGATTTCTGTAAATCTTGACAGCATTAATCTGCATAGATGCACACTCCACCTGGCAGAGATGCTACGTAACATTTACTGTCTTGTTTCACTCCCAATTGTCTTTTAAATGTCACATGTGCTCTGATCCTCTCAGCTTTCCCCCACCTCCTAAATATTGCCTGCCTCAGCCACTACCACTCCCCTCCAGACGCTGAGACTGTCATCCATGCGCTTATGCGCAGGCTTGACTATCCCCAAAGCTGCAGTTTTCTGCATTGGGTTCTGCGAGCCAACCACCCCCATCCTTAACCGGCTTCACTGCCTCATCTAATGGATCAAGTTCAAGATTCTTGTTCTCATCTCTTTTTCCCCACCCTACCTATGTGACCTCCTCAAATCCAACAAAGCCCGCTGTTCCCTTTTCTCAGTGGGTTTGCTCCAAGGCCCTTATTCTCTTGAACACCATTCTGTAGTACCTCTGACTCACACCCTCACCTCTTTCCATCTCAAGACATACCTCTGATCATGTTTTTCTGCTCCATACCCCTCAACGCCCATCCCCAGCTCGGGTGCCAAGCCAGTATTAAACATCTTGGGATGTCCTCCCGATGTGAAACACTCTGTATAAAAGTAGAATTGTAGAATCATAGAATTGGACAGCATAAAAAGAGGCCATTCGGCCCATCGAGTCTGTGTCGGCTCTTTGATTTGAGCAATTAATATCAATCCCACTCCCCAGCCCTTTCCCCATAAACCTATAAACCCGTCCTCCTCAAATACTCATCCACCGCAGTTTTAAAAGTAGTTATTATTGCTAAATATTTTTTCCTTCTGTTTCTGCTTTGTATTTACATGTTTTTTTGGCCCTGTAGGGTGTGATTGCAGCCATGAGGGATGGATTTGGTTTCATTAAATGTGTAGATCGTGATGCCCGCATGTTTTTCCACTTCAGTGAGATCATGGATAGTCTTCAGCTCCACATCTCAGATGAAGTTGAGTTCACTGTTGTTCCCGTAAGTACTTTCAAATCTTTTGTTATGCAGCTGGATGTTAGACTACTGTAGAAATAATATTTCGCCCACATAACATAGTCACATTCCACTTTACAGTACATTCCACTTTGAGAACTTGAGAAAACGTGATAAGACGCTAGATCAAATCCAAGGATTATTATAGGTATATGGGATGTGGGAAATTAAATTCAGAAAGACGTGAGCCAGACCTATTCTTCCATAAATATGTTGTAATTAAGTTTGCCACCGATTTAACATTTAAATGCATAATTTAAAATTGTGTATCTCCAGATGCTATCAAACTGTCCCATAAACACATGTATTCATATGTGGATACAAAATATCAGCTTGCTGTTTGTTAATTATAAATTCTCAAATGTTGTTCCATGGAGGAATTTGTTTTTTATTTCAAGTAATGCTTCCAAATGGAGCAAATAGATTGGAGTTGCCTTACACAACCTCTAGATCTGGTTACAAACAGAAACAGCTGCTTCACCCTGGCACTAGTGCACAGGCAACTGATGAGAAATTAGATGGGAAATTGCAACATTCTATGCCATAGTCTCCAGTATTTTTTATTTCCTGTCTGTTTAACTAATACTGGGTTGCACTTTTACAATGTCAATGATGCTTGTTGTCCATTTGAAGTATGTGTTTTTAATCTAGTTGCTTAGTTGCGCTCCACAATTTTTTGAATAAATAATAATTTGGTCACTCAATCCATGACTGTTGTGAGCAATTGATTGCAGTGTTTCGGCCACAAAGTATGCAGTTAATTCACTTTACACTTTACATTCTGAAACGCTTTGAGACACCTCAAAGACATAAGACGCTATATCAAATGCAAGGATTATTTTTTATTTTCCACTGCAGAGGAGTGTGTTGAGTAGATGTGGATAGAATTATGAGTTGAGAGGACGGTATAGACTAAATATTTGCAAGATGCATAGTTAACGCATTAGCAGCTAACTCAGTTTTTCTCATCTTTGCCAGCTTTGCAGGTCCACGCTGAAAGTGGAGAGATCGTCGAAAAGATTTTCTCCTCTCCAAATTTCTCCCCTCCTTAAATGTCTCCCCGCCTTCCTTTCCTAAAGGAATTTTGATTGTTTTCCTCCTCTACAGTTTTGGAGGTTTATTCGACCTCCAACGCTTTGCCCAAATGGTCATTATAGTAATAATAATAATCCTTGTATTTGATATAGTGCCTTATCACGTCTTGGAGATGTCTCAAAGCGCTTCACAGAATTTCTGTAAAGTGAATTGACTATTTTGTGGGTGAAATTTGGCAGCCAATTGCGCAAAGTAGTGGTCATGGATTGAGTGACCAAATTTTTTTTATTGTTATTTAGTTATTCTCTCCTTGGATAAATAAATATCACTCACCTATAGGGCTGTGAAAGGCATCACATCTTAAACCAAATGTGAGGCTTGCCTGAAATCCACTGGAATTAAAAGATGTAGCATGATTTAATGAACGTGACTGGTTTAGCTTGTTCCTGTTATAAAACTGTGTTCCACTAATTCTAACAATATAAATTAACAGTATACCAGTTCCTAATTTGATCTGAGTTCTGAATTATTCTCATTATAGCTCAGAATGTTCTTGGAATCTGATTTATTTGCATTCATCTGTAGTTGTACATTATGTGAAGATGTTCTCTCGTCTCTTAAAGGATGTTCTTTCAGCCCAGAGAAACCATGCAATTCGAATTAAAAAACTCCCAAAAGGAACTGTGTCTTTTCATACACAGTCTGAACAGCGTTTCTATGGAATTGTGGATAAAGAAGCTGCCGGCACGATATCTAAATCCATCAGCCCAACCAAGGGGAAAGAAAAGGTAATTGGAAACTAGCATTTTGTTACCTCTGGGCCTGCAGTTGAGGTGCAAGTTGCTGTGATCCATGACATGACATTTTTATTTAAGAAAGCTCCCATCTTGAAATAATAAGGTTTTAAATACTGAAATCTATCCTCAAATCTCAATTACCTGCGACATTTTGAGGAAAAAGTGAAGGCTTGTAAATTGGTTCCATGTATGATTACAGGACTGATTGTTAACCTTCAGTAATGAGAAAAGGGGAAGTTTATTTGAAGCCTTGAAATTATTTTCTGCCATCACAATATTGATTCCTATTTGAATATTAATATATTATGAATATCATGAGAGTATAAGAATTTGCTGGCAAAAGAAGACTAGTCCACCTAGTTCGCCTTTCACCATCCTGGCATATTATGTCTCAAACAATATACTACATCCCAAGATATGAATTTCTAGGAGAAATTTGTTCAAACAAACAACACTTTCTGATTCCAACGTCTACCTAGGGAGCCTGTTCCATAAGTTTACTACTCACTCACTGAAGTAGTGTCTTTGCAAATTTGTTCTGAATTTACCCCCTTCAGTCGCAGGCCGTGCCATCTGATTCTACTGTTCATACCCATGGTTGAAATGCTACTACTGGTGTGGACAAAAGGTTGTGTATTTATAGTCTCCCTTATAGGTGGAACGTCAGTTGAATGCTTACAGATCACAGCAATTAGTGATTGGACACCCTTCACTGATTGTGATATAGACTAGCTGATGGTGTTGGAAGCTGGACTCAAATTGTGCTCATTATTAGACCTGTTATTAATGGAAATGCATGTTTGTGCTGACGATTGCCATCTACTGGCGGTCGTGCAGATGGAAAGGTGGGAATGTGAACCAGAAGCTGGAGCTGAGGCATGTGATCAGGGAAGAGGAGAATCAATGAGCTTTACCATTAAAGAAACAGCTTTGTATTTTTATAGTGCCTTATCGTATTGAAACACATCTCCAAGCAATTCAGTTATTTTTACCTCGTACTTAAACAGGTAGATCTAAGCTTGGTCTTAAAATTCACAATGTTTTCCCCATCTACGAACATCATCTTGGTAAGTGTTATATAAAGGGCAGAAGCAAGCTGCAAAGGTATAGGGGAAAAGTAGGTAAAAGGGATTGAATGGGTCACTTTCAGAAAGCAAGGGCGCACACACATGATAAGGCTGAATGGACGACGTCTGGGCTGCGCGTTTCTATGCAAATCATTGCAGCAGATGCAGTTATACATGACTGCAGTTATACATGACTGCTCCTAATTGTAGAGGACACAGGCTGCAATCACTTCCATGGTAAGTTATTAAATATATGAACTGTTAAGAGAATGAGAATCTTTGTTGTGATGGACAATACATTCTGTTGATAGATTTTACAGTGGTTTTAGTTTCCTTTTTTTGTTGGTTGCTGAATGAACATTCACTCTTCAGTGGGGGAAAAAAAATGTAATGCCCCATGTCAGAGGTAGGAACTGTGCAGAAAATTAGACTTCAGTTATCTGAAGCTTTGTATTTGTATCAGTCACAGGTATCCTGTGAATGACCAGTGGAGTTGCTAATTTTGTCCCCTTTGTGTGTATATCCAGTATAAAGCTTCCAGTATAAAGTGGTCTTCTTCCAAGAAGTACAGACTCACTTCACATCATACCCCACTGCCTTAAGCATCTCATGTTTGTACCTCCCAGACCACCCAAATGACTGAAATAGTGTGGATGATCCTCCATGTATATCATCTGGTACACCAGCATGTTATACTGCTTCCCTTTTAAACAATGTGGTTTTGTCATGCAGAAAATTTTAATAAACATTTATTATAAATGCTATGGATAATGTTAGATGAACGATCCACACTATTTCAGTCATTTGGGTGGTCTGGGGGGTACAAAAATGAGATGCTTAAGGCAGTGGGGTATATGATGTGAAGTGAGTCTGTACTTCTTAACATGAGGAAGTTAATGTAATGGAATTTGATCTCGGACGCTGCTGTGCACAATTGGCTGCTGCGTTTCGCACACAAATATACAGTCAATTCAGTATATAGTATATTCTGTGAAGCGCTTTGAGGCGTTTAGAAGATATGAAAAGCGTTATATCAGATGCAAGGATTATTATTACCTTAATGAGCAGGTTAACAGCTTTGGAAAAAGTCAACCTAGTTTGATCTTTGGTTGAAATCACAGTTTTTCAAATCTCTCCTTTGTGGTTAATTTACGATAGCTGTCAGGCAAGTGATAGTTTTAAGGAGTATGATCTTGTTGACTGCTGATGTACTCTGAAAATATGAGGAGTCAGCTTTCAGGTGTCAACATGAGTTAGTTAATGGCGTTCTCGACCCAGAGTCAGAATGTTCAAGCCCCACATCACGAGTTTGAATTCTCAGTCCAGGTTGACACTTGGAAACAGTACTAGGAGTCATTCATTTGTCAAAGGTATTGTCCTTTGACAAATGAATGAGACACTGTAGAGCGATCCAGGAGGGTGTTAAAGATCCCATGGCACTATTTAAAAAGAGAAGAAAGTTTCTCTCTTTATCCAAGCCAACAATATCCCAGAAAAAAAGGATCATCCACTTTATGGACTTTGTTTTGCAATTTGGCTGCCACTTTTGCTAACAAAATAGCTGCATTTGATTTGCACTTTACAGTGATTCCTTGAAACACTTTTGAGACCTCCTCCAATATGAAAGGCACTATATATCAAGGATTTTTATTAATTTCTCAGCTAAAGTTGCTTTCTAAATAATTCCAGAAAGTTTTACCTTTCCCCTTGCTCCAAATTTCTTTCTATCATAGAATTCTTTGATGATAGCAAAACAAAATATTTAATCAAAGTAGAGTACCTTTAACATAAACGTATTTACACTGCCCAACCCTGGCTGTATTAAAAATCTCTTTTTCTTTTCTTGTCCTCTTATCTTTGATGTTGTTCAGAAAAAAGAGAAGGTAGGGGGCTAATTTCCATCCATACCTGTGTTGCAATTTTGTGTTCCACAAATTGTGTGAGGCTTCAACTATTTGCAACCACTGCCGTTCATTTGGAGAATATTCTTGTGCATTTGGTTTCAGCGTGATTTGACTAGAAAATACTAATCATAACACTATGAAATTAACTGAATCATCTTGTTGACGAATTCCAAGGATGTTAATCCACTGGAGTGAACATGAGTAGCTTTTAAGTACTAAATAAAGAGTCTGTGGTGACTCGTCATTGGCTTGTTTTTTGGGATTACTCCCTGCCTACTTAACCTAATGAATGTAACAGGCATGCTCTGGTTCGTGACATCAGCATAATGTTCTGTAAATGCATTGGATATTACAGAAAATCTATGAAACCTTTTTCTCAGTTTGTTGCATTTAAGGGTAAGCAATAAAACCTTCTGCCATCATAAACCTTGAGATTGCTTGAAGATTTGTAAAGGTTGTATATTCTGCTTTCCTAGGCTGAGTTAAATTCTCAGCTGCATTCTCTCTCCAATAGTGCACCACCAAGATTAATAACCCAGTTGATGTTGGGTGCTGCTCATATTAGGCCGGACTGAATGTTTACATCTTTCTAAACTTTCTGGAATGGTCGAGGGGTGCTTGTTTGATGTTTCGGAACATAGGAATGGAGACGATATAAACTAAATCCGGCCAGTGAAAATAGCCAGTTGGATCTGTTTAAAAATCCAACACTCCTCTAATACTATACAACTCTATCTCTCATCCCCCTCATTTGATTTATTCACCAAGTAACTACCTTTATTGTGCCTTGATATGCTGGTGCTCTTGCTGATTGACCTGCTGTTTGTCTACAAATCCCTTCATGCCATTGCACCTCCCTCCCTATCTCTCTGACCTGCGTCCTCCCCATTCCAACACTCGCCACATCCGCTCAGCTGGCTCCAGCTTGGCCCTTGTCCCTCCGCTCCACCATTGGCAGCCATCCTTTCATCCACTACGCCCCGGGACTTTGAAATTCTCTTCCTCTGCCTTGCCCTCTCCTTCCCCGTTTTCAGATCACGTCTGAAGAGCTTCCTCTTCCACCATACATACAGCCATCTATCCCTCAATTTGGCATAGGCTTGCGCCACTGTTAAGTGCTCAGATGCTACCTTGTGTGAAGGGCACTACATAAATACAAGAATATTGTTGTTTTCAGCTTAATCTCGAATTCAAGATCCTCACCTACAAGGCCATTCACGGCCTTGCTCCCTCCTACCTCTCCGACCTACTATCCCCCTACCTACCTGCCCGTACCCTCCGTTCCTCTGGCTCCGGTCTGCTCCACATCCCCCGCCCCAACCGCCCTACCATCGGTGGCCGGGCCTTCAGCCTCTCAGCCCCGAGGCTCTGGAACTCTATCCCCCAGTGCCTTCGCCGCCTCCTCCCTTTCCTCCTTCAAGGCCGGTCTCAAGACCTTTCTCTTTGACCTTCAGCCTTCAGCTCCGCTCTCGACTCTCTACCCCCTCCTCGCTCCCTCCCTTCCCTCTCCTCACCCTGACCATTTCCCCTCTGTTCGGGTCCTGGCCCAACTGTACAGCACCTTGGAACGTCCTCCTGACGTGAAAGGCGCTCAATAAATGGAATCTTGTTGTTGTTGTAGTGGCTCTTACTTTATTCATAACATTCTGGTGAATGATAAAAGTATTCCTTGTTTGTAGAGATATTCAAACCTGTTGACTGCATAAGGGCTGGGAGAGAGAAAATCCACTTTACTATGCAGTGAATACCTTCAATGAAAGTGCAAACATATTTTGTGCTGTTCCTTTCCCTGGTTTCATCTTGTAAAAGTATCATATGTTGAACTTGAAGCGATATCCATGTATTTAAGGACTTTACTTTTTCAAAAAAACACATACCCAAAAAGCTCATCACCATGTATCTGAAGGAAGCAGAGTCCTGTCAACGAATATCTAGTGGATGGATAACTCTTAATGAATCAGTGTTAAAGGGTTGGGGGGAATAGTTTTTTAACGATGTAGTTTAAGTGTAATGAGTACAAAGATTGTTTTCTGACTTAAAATGGCGAATTAATGATGGTTTTGCCTCATTGGCGAGTTGCTTGGGAAGAGTTACTCAACTGAAATCTGTGAGGAAATTGATTCAGTGGAGTGTAGTTGAGGCTGCTTCAGTGATCTTATTTCAATAAGCGTCACCTCGATTATCTGCTCAAATAGAGGAATATCTGCTTTCATGGAAGGTGCACAGGATTGGGTAATTTACCTTGTACTGTCTGGCCAATAAGCTGATGTAGTATTGTTAGGGACCCTAATGTCTTGGTAAACTGAGTGCTGCATACCTAACACATCAAATCCACATGATTAAACACTTCTAGCATTTATATCAACATACAAGCAAATGATTTTAAGCCTTAATGCAAATTGGGTGCTTATATTAAGTTTTGGGCTCTTGATAAGTTTTAATTTATTTGTAGTGTTATTCCAATCTTAAGTAACAAATTGATAATCAGGAACCAACAACTCATCAGATCTGATGGTGATCAGAAGGTAGGGATTCAGTTTAGGGGGTGCGTGGGTCATGATTTTGAAAGTTGACCTATCAATAGCCCAAAGACATTACAAGAAGCCAAAAAAAACGAAGTCACTGGGAACACTTAGCAGGATAGGCAGCATCTATGGAGAGAGGAAACGTTAACTCACTTTCCTCTCTCCATAGATGCTGTCTGATCGGCTGAGTGTTCCCAGTGACTTCTGTTTTTATTTCAGATTTCCAGCATCTGCAGTATTTTGCCTTTTGTTAAAAAGAGCCAAGTTGTTTTATTCTTCACTATGTATCTTGGCACATGCACAACAACAGTATGTTTTTCGGCTCTAGTTTAATGTGGGAATTTTGACACTTTCTGGGGATGCATTGTTCAATTCTGTTCTGTTCCTACGGCTCATCCAAACCTTTTCCTTTCGTATTTGAAATCCAGACTGAGATACAAAAATGTATACTTTGTCAGTAACAGCCTAGAGAGGCAGGTTCTAAACTTGGATTCCCGACCTGCTGCATTTCTGATCTCGCCTGTGCTCCTGGGAAGACATGGTGAGACCCTAAATGCTTTCCTCCCTGAACTGAATTATTTCAGCATCTTAAGTCCTTTCAAATGGTGCTTTCTGTATAATGCCTCAAGCATCCAGTGGGCACATTGCCCTGCAGTGGAGAATTAATGAGAGATGGTCATTTCGGAAAGATTATAAAATGTTCCTTGTCATGAGGCAAGAATTTCGCTCAATGTAAATAACTTGAAAATTGAGACAACTTGGTTAGTTAACCATGACATGTCATTGATTGTGAAGTAGCTTGAGTTGTAAGTTAATTTGTTAAATTGTATTCATCTTTTGTACAACAACTTCTAAAATGAATTGTCGATCTCCCATCTTTTTGGAGGGATGACTGAATTAATTGCAGAATAAGCCAGAGAAGCTGTGTATAAGTCCATCAGAGATGGCCTGTGTTCTCGTATCAACGTGTAACTCTTACAAATTCAGTCTGACATGGTGACCGCTTTCGGTTATTTACCTAACTTAATGCACTATAATATAATCCTTGGCGCATACAGATATTCTGGTTGGCTGCAGGGATAAAATAGTTCAGGTTCAATGTTAGAAGATTTTTTTTAAAAAATGACTGAATACCACGAGAGGTAACCTTTCTGTCCCTGAAATAACTGAAGAAAAACTTTATGATGATTTTGAGTCTGCAGCTCCTTTATATAAAAAGTAATTTGAATGAAAGAGCACAAACAGAAATCCATTGCTCAATTACTGGAAAGCAGGATTGAGTGCCATTCTCTTGTGATATCTGTGGAGATTTCCATAAGCAAGGAATAGCCTCTATTGTATAGTTGGTGGGATGCATTTTTTTAAACGCTCCCAACTGTTTAGCTGAAGCAGTAGTGTGATATTTATAGTCTGCCTTGCTGTGTCTCAGCACACTGAATGTCTGCACATAATTGCTGCATTGCCCATTTTCAAAATAGAAACCCAGCAGTAGCTTTGCCGGGAATTCATGCCAAGGACTTTATTCCTCTCCGCATTCGGATAGCTAAACCGGGGGATTCGTCAAGTGAGCAAGTACTGACTCCCGGGTGGGGGCGGGGTGGACACTTGCATACACATTGTGGGGATTTCCTGAAATCTTTCTGAGAAGCAGTGAGCTATACCACTGTAAGGGTGTGAACAAATCAGTGGACCCAAGGTTGTGCTGCTTGGGCTCATTGTCAGCTGACAGTTTCACAGTGCGGTGATGGAATGATTTATCAGCAGTATTGGTAGTTACCAATGATATCTTGATACCATTGTATTCCCATTGAGTGAATGAAGACCTCAAGAACAAATTTAGAGAATTTGGTTCGCTGAAGGAAAGTTTTTGTACATGATTGAATGAAGCATGGAATAAAGAAATGATTAGAAATGAGAGATGAGATCAGTGTAAGGTAACTCCTATAATTACTCCATTTTAATTTTATCAATACCCTTCTGGGCTGGAGGATGTATGCCCATGGGACTGGGTTCACTAGGCTTTTGTTCACAGTAGAGGATTTGTCTTTTGGTTTCCCTGCTCTTTGGTTTTGAAGATGCGCTACCCTGAGTGGAGTTGCTATATAAATCCAACTTGTTGTGTTTGATCTTGGGATAGGCAAATATTTGGCAGTCTGAACCCAAGGAAATAGCTGTAGCACATTAGATGTAACTGTACGTACTGGACAGTAACACTTTGGCATTGTGTGACACCTGTTGTGATTTACAAAATTTAACCTACAAAATGTTCAAATTAACTGGAATGTTAATATGTGCAATATTGTTTGACTACAAAAATATGACCTGCTTAAGGATTTATTTGGGGTGCAGTTATGCTTATATTTAATTGATCTAGGAGCACTGCTTTTTGGAGAGAACTTTGGTGTGTGGATATTTTTAATTTGTTCAGCATGTGAATTTCTGTTTGTACACTAACAGTTGGAATTTGTAAGAATTTCCAGAATGACTTTCCATTACTAACTTCAAACAGGAGTTGGTTAAACATTGGATTATTAGGCTAGAAAATGGCACCTTTATTGGTTAATGAGTTACTGAACTTGTGTGTGTTCTGCCTTTTTTTTAGGACTCAGAGGAAGGAATGATTACATATGATGACTCTGGAATACGAATGACTGTGCCATACCACATAAAGGATCTGGAAGGGTGTGCAATTCCACAGCTTGGTGACAAGGTAAGTTGTAAGTTCCTTCTTTGTCAACCCTGGTCATTATTTTATTGACAATGCCAGTGAAATAACTATTTTTCTCTAATGTTCCCTAGATTGAATTTAGTATTTGTGAAGTTAAAAGAACAGGTCTTCAGAGTGCAGTGGCAATCAAAATTCTAAACCGTAACCCAATGCCAAGAGACTTGTAGGATATGTGGCAGCATTGAAGGATAACTTTGGCTTCATAGAAACTTCTCAGCATGATCAAGAAATCTTCTTCCACTATAGGTGAGATTCCTCTACAATCTTATGCTGTGTTTTAAAAAAAAAAGCAGAAGTGGGAAGTGCAGTGGAGACTGAATGAACATGATTGGAGGTGAATTTTACAGTGGGTATGTTGTGCGAAAGTCAAATGAACAAATTGCATTTATATAGCGCCCTTCACGTCGGGAAGACGTCCCGAAGCACTAGACTGACTAATACTTGATTATGTCCCAAGATATAGTAATAATAATAATCCTTGCATTTGATCTTATCAAATGCACCTGATAAGGTATCTTGTACCTTATCACGTCTTTGATGCATCTCAAAGGGCTTCACAAAATATTCTGTAAAGTGTATTGACCACTTTGTGAGTGAACGGGGCTACCAATTGCGCACAGCAGTGTCCCACAAACAGTCGTGGATTATGTGACCACATTATTATTAATGTAATGGTTCTTGGTGGATCTTAGAAATAAAAAGAAAAACTGTAAATGCTGGAAATCCACAGCAGCTCAATCAGCCCCTCAAAGACAGTTAGCTTAATGACCTTCCATTGTAACTGCAGTGTGTTGGAGTCCAGATGTAGGAGAGTCAAGTAAGACCAGACAAAGGAAATCATTGAATTTTTAAAAACCTGACTCTTTATACCTTTGGTCACATAGAAACAGGAGTAGGCCATTCAGCCCCTCGAGCCTGTTCTGACATTTTGTAAGATTATGGCTGATCTGTACCCCAACTCCCAATTGCCCGCCCTTACCCCATCCACAACCTTTTATGGGACAGATTTCCAGCATTTGGGTGAAAAACTGCCTCCTGATTTCACTCCTAAATGGCCCAGCTAGCTCTAAATTTAAGATGATGCCCCTTGTTCTGGATTCCCCCACTAGAGGAAAAAGTTTCTCTGTAGCTACCCCATCAAATCCCTTTATTATTTTAAAAACCTAGAATCATAGAATTCGTACAGCACAAAAAGAGGCCATTCGGCTCATCAAGTCTCTGCCAGCTCTTTGAAAAGAGCAATGTAATGTCAATCCCACTCCCCGGCCCTTTCCCCATAACCTGCAAACCCGTCCTCCTCAAATACCCGTCCACCGCGTTTTTAAAAGTAGTTATCGAATCAGCCTCCACCACCTTGTCAGGCAATCAGATCACCCCTCAACTTTCTAACCTCAAGGGAATACAGACCAAATTTATGCAGCCTGTCCTCATAATTTAATCCTTTAAGTCTTGGTATCATTGTGGTGAATCTGCGCTGCACCCCTTCCAGAGCCAATATATTTTTCCTGAGGTGCAATACCCAAATCTGAACACAATCTCCAGATGGGATCTGACCAAGGCTATATAAATGAAGCACTATTTCCTCTCCTTTATATTCCAGCCCCCTTAAGATAATGGCCAACATCCCATTATCCTTTTTGATAACTTATTGTACCTGTGAGCTTGTTTTTAGTGCTTTGTGTAAATCTCTTTGCCGTTCCACAGTTCTTAGTTTCTCACAATTTGCTTTTTTGGATCCATAGTGGATCACCTCATACTTCCCCACATTGAATTCCATCTGCCACAGTTTTGCCCATTTAATCTGTCTATATCCCTCTGTAACTTCCTGCTCTCATCTACACAATTTACTGTGCCTCCTAGCTTTGTGTCATCTGCAAATTTTGATATAAAACTCTTTATTCCTTCATCCAAGTCATTTATATAAATGGTGAAAAAGTCACCTTCTCTGTACCCCCCCTTTCTTCCCAACTTGCTTGCATTGTATCGCTGTTCTATTTGAAAGGTCCTATATAAGTGCAAATTGGTTTTTTTTTAAAAAAATAACATGCCAAAAGTCAGCTTGATTAACAGATGTGAAGTGCTATTTATTGGTGATTTAGGAAGAAGAACAGAGACTGCATTAAGGAAAGTTGGGAACTCTGGGAATAGATGAGTAAGGTTTGAATCTGCCAAGTTGATCAGACCTGTGGACAAAACCATACTAAAGTCAGATAACAGTTGCTGCTCTTGAAATTTTCAGTGTGTGGTTGGAGCAGTGTCAGAGGCCAAGGATAGAAGACAGTGTTCAGGGTGGGTTTAAAGATTCAAGATATTCATCAAAATAGTCTCCCGGTCTATGCCTGGTCTGGAGGAGACCACCGTAAGTAGAGACAGCAATGTATTAGTTTGGAGGAGGTGCGTAGAATGTTCAATGTCTTGCAAGGAAAATGTGTTCAGAACAAAGGCATAATATTTCAGTTGGAGGTGAAAATATCTTGGTAGAAGACTTTACATTTTGTGTGATTACAAACTTAAAGGGTATGAACTTTGTTTGACTAAGAAAAGTCAGGTGAGCTATATGGGTGAGCACCTACCAGTAGATGGTGCCATTAAAATGGGTTTAAGTACAACTATAATGAGTGAATGAGCTGCAAGTGAAATGTTTCTATTTAAGCTAGTTTTCCTCTGTATTGGAGCATATTAAGCAGAGCATTTGTTGTTTTTATAATGCCACTTCTGGGGGAAAAAAGTATGTTCTCTTTTTTGAGCCTACATACTTTTATACAATATGGTCTTGACAGTTACATTTCTGAGGATGGATGATGGAATTTATCATTCAGTGAAATTAACTGAAAATATTTCCCTAATTTATATTTGGAAACTGTGTACCAAAACACCAATACACTGGTATATTTTAAGAGTATTGTCACATTCAATGTGACGCTTACAAATTCTGGAATTGTTGCTTTAATATTACTATTAAATATTAATATGAAAAATCACTGCACTTTACAGCATATTCTATGAAGCGCTTTAGACATCTCAATGACGTAATAAGGCGCTGTATCATATTCAAGTATTATACCTATTATATAGTATCACTTCAGCAGAGAATCAATGTTTGCACTAACAGGACTGGGCCTGCTGTACCTGTGGAAATAGTGTGGATGTCAGGTCAACAATGTACTGATCACCAGTTGTCATGCCATGACTATAATGTCACACAGTGCTCCTCATTGTCTTTTGTAGAGCCAGTCTTTTTATCATTTCCCTCCTCCTCCCCACCCCCCCCCCCCCCCCCCATCTCCCCAACACGGACACAGTACCTTCCTTTCTTTATGTGACTCACCCATTTCTCTTTCTCTCTAGTGTAGAGTATGTAGTGATCTACATATACCTATGAATACCCAGCGAATATACTTAGTTATAATGGATATTTTCATGCTTTTGCAAAGATCAGAAGATGTACACTTCCTACTGCCACAACGTTTATAAATTATAATTTTTAAGGTTTATAAATTATAAATATTAAATGAAAAACTTGTCTCTTGCATGACAACTACTCATTTACCCTGCTTTACTCTTATTGAGGAATGTTTCTGAAGGACTTGCAGTTCCATTTGAGGGTTGCTACTTTGCCCTATTCTCTCACCCTCCAGCTCATTATCTTCATTATTGTTAGGGGTGATGTGCCTTCTTGAAGCTCCTTTTCATTCCAGATAGTTTTTAATTAACTAGAAGAGGAAAATGAATCTTGAGAAGCCAAATCTTCAATGTTTTGACATGTTTTCTACAAATTAAATGTCTACACTTTACAGTAGAATGATGTCAAGAGCTTTGAGATGGTCTTTGTAAATCAAAGGGTCAATGTATATCAAATGCTAGGTTTAAGATTATTATGTACCCTACCAGCAGTCACAAGGAGCTGTGGCCTTGCCTGACTCTTTTATCCTTTTGGGTCCTATTTGGACAAATTCTAATATTAGTGAGATACCAACTTCGACAAAATCAGTCCTGTCAGTTTTTCTGGATTGCTGTTACCAAAACTTGTTTTGTCAGTGGAAATACAATGTGGCTTTGATGTTTACACAGAAGCAGTTCAGGCTGCGGCTCTCCAGCTCACACAGTAGCTTTACTTCACAGTACAGGACTTACCTTCTCTGTTCAGATAGATTGGTTTAGGTTGCAGCAAATCAAACTCGGTACCCAAACCTGCAAGATTGGTGGTCACTCTTGTTTACAGGCTGCTCTTTGCTCCTGACGTGAAAGGCACTATATAAATGTAATTAGTTGTTGTTTAGTAAGATCTACCAGTTTCCTAATTTTTATCAACCTGCCTTAAGATGGGAGTAAGCTTGAAGGCAGTATTGTTTGTTCAACTATTTTCACTAGAAATAAAGAAGGAAGCATTACAAAAAGAATAGTTTCCCTACAGAGACCAATGTTACTCAAATAGCAGCTAGCCATAGTAGTAATGCATCTTTTTATTCAGAGTTGTAGTAATGTGTTATTCACATCAAAGAACTGTTCGTGCACATTTGGTGGAAATGTTTGAGAAAAGCACATAAGTACTTTGCTATGTGAAGATTATGGAAAGAAGGCATCAACAACAAAATTACATTTATAGAGCGTCTTTCACGTCTGGAGGATGTCTCAAGGCACTCAGGGGTCAGGACACGAGCATAGGGGAGGGGTGGGGTTTGAGGAAAGGCAGAGACGTGGGAGGGCGACTGATGGCACGATCGAAGAGGAGGGTCTTGAGACCGTCCTTGAAGGAGGCAAGGGAGGAGGCGAAGGGACTGTGGGATGGAGTTCCAAAGTGTGGGGGCAGAGAGGCTGAAAAGTTGGTAGGGAGTCAGCAGGTCAGAGAGGTAGGGGGGGCGAGGCCATGGGCAGCCTTGAAAGTGAAGACGAGGATCTTAAATTTGATCTTCTGGGGGATGGGGAGCCAGTGGAGTTGGGCGAGGGTGGGAGTGATGGGGTCGGGCGAGGGTGGGAGTGATGGGGTCACTGGTGCGTGAGAGTACATGAGCTGCAGAGTTTTGGATGATCTGCAGTTTGTGAAGGGAAGAGTTGGGGAGACCGATGAGGAGGGAGTTCCTGTAATCGAGCCTTGAGGTGACGAATGCGTGGGTGAGAGTTTCGGCAGCCTGAGGGGTGAGACAGTGGCGGAGTCTGGCAAAGCAGGTAAATGGAAGGCAAAATACTGCAGATGCTGGAAATCTGAAATAAAGGTAAGTCACTGGGAACACTCAGCAGGTCAGGCAGCATCTATAAACAAACAAAAGGCAAAAAACTGCAGATGCTGGAAATAGATGCTGTCTGACCTGCTGAGTGTTCCCAGGGACTACAGCAGGTAAATAGTATTGTTAACTGATCAGCCATGATCTAAGAAAATGGAGCAGCTTACATCTATGTTCCAGAAAAATGAAATAAAATAAGGTTGTGGTGTCATTTTTGATCTCTGAGCTTGTTCTCATTGGCACAAGGTGATGAGAGTTGAAAGCTGAAATGCTAGGAATGAGATTCCTGATTAATAAAGTTAATCATCAGCATGCAGACCTGTGTAAACATAGTGTAACATGGGACATCCGTTATACTTTTAAATCAAACTGAATAACTTCTAGTGATCACATTAGGTAAGTCTAGGTAAAATCTGCCCTTGAGGAGAAGCCTTTCTGACAACTAGGATTATTCTCATTGGAGCAGAGGTCTTCAAAATCATGAGGGGATTTGATCGGTTAGAAAGGGAAAAACTGTTCCCACTGGTGGGTGTGTCGGTGACTCGAGTTCATAGATTTAAAATAGTCTCTAAAAGAAGCAGACAGGAGGTGAGAAGAAATTTTTTCACGCAGTGAGTTGTTCAAATCTGCAACACATTGCCTGAAAGGGCAGTCGAGGCTGATTCGATAATAACTTTTAAAAACACGGTGGATGGGTATTTGAGGAGGACGGGTTTGCAGGGTTATGGGGAAAGGGCCGGGGAGGGGGATTGACATTACATTGCTCTTTTCAAAGAGCCGACACAGACTCGATGGGCCGAATGCCCTCTTTTTTTGTGCTGTACGAATCTATGAACTTGAAGGGTAGTCAGTGGAGCACTGGTATGGGTCTTGGGACTCGTGCAGCACAATCCATTGGGACTTTGGCTTTAGGGTTTGAGAACAACACATCAGCAACTCCAGAACTCGTGAATGAGATGGGCATTTTTCTCAAAGCCAGTTTATCCCACGTAACTCCACTCTTAAGTACTTACCTTCATTGCAAGGGGTTATGATAAGTTTGAAAAGTCTGTAAAAATAGAAGTTGGATCCAACTAATTTGCCCACAAATATACAGTCAATTCACGTTACATTTTACTGTGAAGCACTTTGAGACGTCTCAACGATGTGATAAGATGCTGTATCAAACGCAAATATTATTATTATACAATGTAGTCAAGCCATCCGGGACACTATCCCGCATGAAGGCCGCTATATAAATCCAAGTTCTTGTAACGTTTTAGTTGATTACAAATATTTGGATGCTTGGGCTCTGAGAAGTTGCAGCCATGCTCAAGTTGTACATATTTTAATCTCTGGGCAGCACTGACTGTCCAGAGATTTCTTCTTTGGGGATTTCAAAACAATAATAATAATAAAGTAATAATTTAGTCACTTCAATCCACCCCTGTCTGTGAACATGGCTGTGTGCAATTTGCTGCTGCGTTTCACCCACAAAATACAGTCACTACACTTTACAATGCATCTTGTGAAGCGCTTTGAGACGTCTTGAAGACGAGATAAGGCGCTATATCAAATGCAAGGATTATTATTATTATTTCTTCCTAAAATCAATTGCATTTTAAGCAATACTCTAACAATGAAACTCTTCCATCTAACTGTGTCCTTCCTTAGTGAGTTCTCTGGAGATCTTGATGAACTGGAGGTTGGTGATGTTGTGGAGTACAGCTTGTCAAAGGGCAAAGGGAACAAAGTGAGTGCTGATAAAGTTGCCAAGATAACAACAGGTAAGAGCCAAGTCATAATGCGTTGTCTTCTTTTAAATCACATTCATTTTTCCACACAAATAGCATTGGGTCATCTAGTGTTTTTAAATATATTTATAGGAGGGAAGAGTGGCAAGGTGAAACGTCATTGTGGCTGATAGATAAAAGAACACTTCAGGATGAAGCCATTTCCTTCATGTTGGAATGATGGGGAGCAGTGCAATTCTAAGCGCCAACTATTTAAAATTGTGCCAGACTCCTGTCGCTCTTTCCATGGTGTTGCAAGATTTAATGGGCAGTGTTTTTTGGGCCTTAACTTCCAGGACCTTCCCCCCACTATTGATCCTTGCTTTCAGTCTCAGATATTGATGGGAGTTGAGGTTGTTTGCCTACAAATACACAGTCACTGCACTTTTGTGGAAAACTCTAAAGTGCTTTGAGACATTGCAATATGAGATGGCACCATGTCAAAAATGATTTTCTAAGTAAAGAAACTTTCTTGTATGCTACCACAAATAAGGCCTGTGAGATCGTCAGCCACGTTACTTTTTTTTTTCCCCCTTTTTCTTTCTCCTTACAATCCTGAAGGTTGGAAACATCGAGTACAGCTCCAATAGCAACCGCAGCTGCCTGTTGTACCAGGTGGCCATCCTTCATATTGATTTAGACGGCTAATGCCTGCGAGCGATCAGCTCTTAGTGTGTTGCAGTGGGAGGAAAGAAAGGATATTGGAGCCAAACCTGGTGCTATCCTCAGTGGTGGAATATTGGAAATATGCCTGATAAGTCCTTGAATCGTGGGAGTGCACGAGGCTGTTATTGTGGGTAGCAGATTCAAAACTGCCTTTCCCCAGTTTTAAATGCTGAGGCTGTTTTGACCACTCCTGCTAGAATAAGCTGACAGCATAAACCTAGATTAATCTTTGAATGTTGCTGGTGTGGCTCAGTTCCAGATCACACAGTTAAGGAACTGAAATTCCAAAGGTATGAGGCATTATTATCATGGCCCCTTAAGACACCAATTTGATTCTTTTGCAATGTTGCCGTGGCTCTAAGCATTAAAATACCTCTTCTGTGTCAGCAGTATCCTGACTTTTAAAGTTACAAAAATTAATATTAATTTACATTTCAGTTTGGTTATACAACAACTTGCATTTTTGTAGTGCCCTGTATGTGGAGCAGCAATTCTTCATGTGCTCTTTATAAACCGTGTGCATGTAAAGACAGGTATTGTGGAACTGAGGCCAAGTTGCATTGAGTTAGGTAAATATTTTGAACTAGTGGTGTAAACCTTTTTAAACCAAGGTCTTTGGGATTAAAGTCAAGCATTAAATTGCTGCTCTGAGAAATATTTCGCTTCAAATTAAATTTGATATTCTATATAATAGGGATGAACTGAACAGCTTATTTCTGAATTATCTTTAATTTTGGCAAAGAATTCTTTATTTGGGTTTAATTGTCTTCATTCCATTTAGATTATTAAGGTTCAATAATGATGACACATTTCTTGCCCTCTAAAAGACTAGCAAAGAAGTTCCAACTGGAGGGCCTGGATATGGACTCTACCCATCAGTCTAAAGTTTAATTTACACAACTTTCTCCACACAACAACAACAACAACAAGATTCCATTTATAAAGCGCCTTTCACGTCAGGAGGACGTCCCAAGGCGCTGCACAGTTGGGTCATGACCCGAGCAGGGGGGAAATGGTCAGGGTGAGGGGAGGGAAGGGAGGGAGCGAGGAGGGGGGAAATGGTCAGGGTGAGGGGAGGGGAGGGAGCGAGGAGGGGGGAAATGGTCAGGGTGAGGGGAGGGAAGGGAGGGAGCGAGGAGGGGAGAAATGGTCAGGGTGAGGGGAGGGAAGGGAGCGAGGAGGGGGGAAATGGTCAGGGTGAGGGGAGGGAAGGGAGGGAGCGAGAAGGGGGAAGAGAGTCGAGAGGGGAGCTGAAGGCTCGGTCAAAGAGAAAGGTTTGAGACCGGCCTTGAAGGAGGAAAGGGAGGAGGCGGCGAAGGCACTGGGGATAGAGTTCCAGAGCCTCGGGGCTGAGAGGCTGAAGGCCCGACCACCAATGGTAGGGCGATTGGGGCGGGGGACATGGAGCAGACCGGAGCCGGAGGAACGGAGGGTACAGGCAGGTAGGTAGGGGGATAGTAGGTTGGAGAGGTAGGAGGGAGCAAGGCCGTGAATGGCCTTGTAGGTGAGGATGAGGAACTTGAAATCAAAGGTGAGGATGAGGATCTTGAAATCAAACACACACACACAGACTAGGCATTGGGTTCATCTAGATTGGGATTTTCAGAAGAACTGCCCCTCTGTGAAATATTTGTGCCTCTGACATAATCAGGCAAAGCTCTGTTTTGCCTTTAAATTATGTTGGTTTGTGGGGGTGGGGGAGTACGGTGTTCCAGTAAACTCCGGAAAATTTGACCCTGTCTTAACTAGTCACTAACGCTTAGTCACCATGTTGTCAATATCCTGTCTGCTTCCCTTGCAAAATATTGATGAGGGACTTTGCTTTACTTGTCGCTCTGCATAACATGTAACTCGTTGCATTCTAGAAATTCTTGGAAGTACTTACAATGTAAGATTGATCGGGTAATGTAAGATTGATTGGCTCGCGTCAGCGCCTCCGCACCTCAGGCGCCGACACCATCAGCATCCATGGCTGCACTCTCCACCTCTCAAAGCCATCAGGAACCTCGGGGTTCTGTTCGACCCTGAGCTGTCCTTTCTCCCTCACATCCGCACCACAACTGGCACCGCCTTCCATCACCTCCGGAACATCGCCAGACTACGGCACTACCTCACCCCTCACGCGGCTGAAACCCTGGTCCACGCCTTTGTCACCTCAAGGCTGGACTATGGGAACTCTCTCCTCGACAGCCTTCCCGGCCCTCCCTCCACACTGCAGGTCATTCAGAACTCTGCAGCTCGTGTACTGTCCCGCACCAGACACCGCGACCACATCACTCCCACCCTCGCTCGCCTCCATTGGCTCCCCATCAATGGATTGATTTCAAGATCCTCATCCTCACCTATAAGGCCATCCACGGCCTCGCTCCCTCCTACCTCTCCAACCTACTATCCCCCTACCTACCTGCCCGTACCCTCCGTTCCTCCGGCTCCGGTCTGCTCCACGTCCCCCGCCCCAATCGCCCTACCATCGGTGGTCGGGCCTTCAGCCTCTCAGCCCCGAGGCTCTGGAACTCCATCCCCCAGTGCCTTCGCCGCTTCCTCCCTCTCCTCCTTCAAGGCCGGTCTCAAAACCTTTCTCTTTGACCGAGCCTTCAGCTCCCCTCTCGACTCTCTTCCCCCTCCTCGCTCCCTCCCCCACCCTGACCATTTCCCCCCTCCTCGCTCCCTCCCTTCCCTCCCCTCACCCTGACCATTTCCCCCTCCTCGCTCCCTCCCCTCACCCTGACCATTTCCCCCCTGCTCGGGTCCTGACCCAACTGTGCAGCGCCTTGGGACGTCCTCCTGACGTGAAAGGCGCTTTATAAATGGAATCTTGTTGTTGTTGTTGTAAATCAGTTTATAAGATGGCATCTGAATTTTGAATATTGTGAAGGAGTATTGCTGGATAATTGCTGCATCCCTCCGTAAATGTGTTCAATGCTTTAAAACTACTTAGAAATATATTGCATGCAAGTCCTCTGTTATCCATATTCCACTTTCAATACATTGTCATCTATATACCAATAAAGACACATTGTTTGTGTGTCTGTCCGCCAAGAATGCGATAACTAATTGACGTAGAGACATGATTTATACCTCATCGGAAAGGTCTTGAATGGGAGAGTGTCATGGGCATATTTTTTTCCGGGAACTCATCACTGATGCGCTATATTATAAACATATTAAAAAATGCTTTAATTAAGCCCCCAAAAAGTTATGCATTGTATTCTGCAACAAAGTTGAGACAGAGGTCACACATCCTTTTAGGGAGATACAACTATACTAATAAAGACAAAATGTCTGTCTGTGTGTCTGCCTAGCCGATTGACATAGAGACACCGACAAGGGTCCTCTCAACCAGGATTCCTCCCAAACAGGAGTCCTCAAAAGAATATGGTTGCAAATATGTGAACACAAGGGATCTTAACGAATTCATTAGCACAGTTTCTTAATCTTAAGGGTTAAAGAATGCCTAAGAAGTGAAGATCAAGTTTTTCAAGGACAAATAAAAATACCAGAAGACAGGTGGACAATTACATGAAACTGGTTGCAAACGTAGCTGTAACGGGTACAGCTAGTGTATAATAATCTAACCAATATTAGCTATTCATAAGTCTGAAATTATATGAAAATGTTATCTCCCCAGTAATAATGGATTCTTTTTACAGTGAATGGTCCCAGTGATGAAATATATCCAACAGTATACCTTGGCAAAGTCCTCAGGCCATTACGCAGTGTGGATCCACAGCAGGCAGAGTATCAGGGACTCATTGAGATTGTAGAGGAAGGTAAGTTTTTCACTAACATGTAAACAGGACAGAAACTTTGAATACAAACAGTGAGAATCACAGGGACAAAGACAACTGAGCATTCAGGGAATGATGTAGGAAAGGGGCAAAATCATTTAAACCAGCCTGTTAGTCTTCTATAAATCTTTGAGCAAAACTGACTTGGCTGGAGTGATTGAAAGTATTTATTCTTTAGTGTACATATTTGGGTGTTCACAAAGTCCTGATACCCCTATGTTTTTTTTGACAGTGCACTGACCAACAACTGAAACATGTGGAGAATGATGATAATTGTATTAGAAAATACTTAATTGTATTCAGTTCAAGTGTTTAACTGTATTTAGGTGTCCAGAGGATCAGTGAGCGTGAGCGAGTGAGTCCCCTCGTTTTCATGGCAGATAATGATCCATCGCCATGTTCGGTCAGTGTGACATCTTCTGTAACATGATGGAGTGAGTGAGGAGGAAGTTACTGGTGTCAGACATTGTTAGACTCCACTCATCTGCAACAGACGATAAATAATTCATTGTAAGAAAAAACACAGGATAACAGGACGTTGTGAACACTGTACCTCCTTAACCCTATTATTAGACTTTCTTTCCAACGTCCTCCCTTAAGTATTCGATTATCTTAAAACTCAGTTCCTGGCCACTGATCTGTATTGTACCTGGTGGCAAGACATCAAATAGACACAATTTGCACATTTGTGCTTCCGTTAGCTCAAGTACAACTTAGCTGCTTTCTAATTTGAAATGTTTTTAACGGTTAAAAATGGGAAAACTTCTTGCAGCACTGCATTTTGAAGATAATTTATTTTAAAAACTGTGCTTGATGTTGCACTCCGCCACTGTCAAGCACTCTGGGGTGCTATATAAATACAAGTTGTTATTGCTGTTATGCTATTTACATTATGTCTTTGCAGGAAGCATGAAAGGTGAAGTGTTCCCTTTTGGTATCGTCAGCCTAGCAAACAAAGCAGACTGCCTGCAGAAGGGGGAAACCATCAAATTCCAGCTATGTACTGTCACCCAAACAGGGCAGAAAATGGGCTACAATGCCACACCATTACGCAAGGCTACAGTGGACTGTGTGAAAGATCAGGTGAGTGCGTGCACCTGTGGCTGCTCACTCTGTACATTGCTGCACTGGCATCAGGCATTTCAGGGTTAAGGATTTCTAGAGTTTCTCCTTATAGTTTTGAGGAAATTGAGCTTCCGATATTTCACTTTTCCATTTTAAAAACACCAATGCAAACTGCCAATTGTATACATTCAGGGTTGAATTTAGTTTCACCTGCAGTAGTACTACTGGCTGTTCACACTCTCCTACCGGGGCTCAAGTCTTTCATTGGAGGCGATTTTGTCTGTATTGAACATAAAAATTGCAAGACGAAAGAAGACAAGGTCTATCCAGTTCACCTTCCACCATCTTGGTAGTTGCTTGCACATGTCATGTCCCAAGATATTATTTGCTGAAAGAAATCAGTGCCATAGGATTACTGAGAACTGTTTAAGAATAAGCAGCTGGGATTCATAAAGCATTTAATGCTCTGAGCCACTGAGTCTGGGATTAGGGCTACACTGAACCTTCTTCTACTGTCATAGTTTTCATTTAACTTTCCAGCCTTGGTTTCACCTATTGAACCACTGTTTTTGTTTAACCACTCACATTTGTGATTATGGCTGTAAAGTAATGTTAAATGAATTTCACATATCAGCACCCATGATTTTTTTAGACATTTGCATAATTGAACTCCGGGGAGTTTGTGTAACCAAAGTAACCCCAGGTCTCGAGAGGGTTTATACACAACAGAAAGGTTAAAAGCAGAATACAATCATTGCTGCATAATAGATTTGATACCTCCACAAACAATTCACATCTTCAACCTAGCATCAAATGAGATTTTTTAAAGCTACATAAAGTGGGAGGAAACGTACAGATATTGCGGTTAAGCAGTTAGTTGATTGAACCGCTGAGAGAGATGCCCTTATTAGAGAGTTTGTTTCAAATAAGGGGTAAAGTGGCTTAAATATTGAGTTGCTTAATTGTGGTGTCTGAGGTAAGGTTTAGGATACCCCAGAGTAGGACTGGTTGCCAACTAGCAATATGTATGTGAATTTGTTTTCAAACCTGCAATTATTGACAAAGAATATACAGCACAGAAATAGGCCATTTAGCCCATCATGCCATTCAGATATGCAGTAGTGTTTAGGGCTTGGGAGGTGAGGGGAGTAAAATGTCCAAAAGTGTTGTCAAAGAGGAAGATCTTGAGGTGGACATTGCATTAGGTGAGGGAAGGGGTGAGTCAACGGGAATCCGAGTTGGAGTTCCAGAGGGTGGGGCAGATCGCCAATGGTGGGGGCAGAGGATGTGTTTGAGGAGGTTGCGGTGGTAGGGTGGGGCAGGACCGTGGAGGCATTTAAAGGTTATGAGGATGTTGGATGTGATCTGCTGAGTAAGTGAAGCTGGGCGAGGATGTGATGGACCCCAATGCAGGAAAGGACACAAGTGGCAAAGTTCTGGAGAGTCGGCGGTAAAAGGAAAAGATGGGTTATCCAGTGAGCAGAGAGTTAATAATAATACAAATAATCCTTGCTTCATCACTTCATTGATGGGTCTCAAAACTCTTCACAGGATATACCGTAAAGTGTAGTGTCTGTGTATTTTGTGGGAGAAACACAGAAGCCAATGCCGCACAGCAGTGTCCCACAAAAAGTTGTGAATTGAGTGACCAAATTATTGTGATTTTTTTATTAAGAGATTTAGGTGCAATCTGAAGAGGGGCAAAGACGGAGGGGTAGAGGCAGAGTCCCTCAACTTCAGGTGTAGTCAGGAACCTAGGTGTCTTGCTCGACCCTCAACTGTCTTCTCCCCCACATTCAAGCCATGAGCCCCTCTACTTTCCCTCACTTCCGTAATATCACCAGACTCCGCCACTACCTCACCCCTCAGGCCGCTGAAGCTCTTATTCATGACTTCATCACCTCCAGGCTCGACTATGCAAACGTGTCGGCCTTCCCAACTCCTCCCTCCACAGGTACAGATAATCCAGAACTCTGCAGCCCGTGTCCTCTCCCGCACCAAACTCTGTGACCCCATTCTTGCCCTCCACTGGCTCCCTATCCTTCAGAGGATCCAGTTCAAGATCCTGGTCCTCACATACAAAGCCCTCCATCGCCTCGCCTCACCTTTTCTCTGCGATCTCCTAACCCCCTACCAACCCGCCTGCTCCCTCCGCTCAGCCGCCTCTGGCCTGCTTCATGTCCCACAACCCACCCGCCCCACCATTGGCGGGAGAGCTTTCAGCCACTCTGCCCCCAACCTCTGGAATTCCGTCCCCCAGTCACTCCGCCTCACCCCATCCTTAGCCTCCTTCAAGTCCTGCCTCAAGGCCCTCCTCTTCGACCATGCCATCGGCCACCCCCTTTCCCCCCCCCCCCCCCCCCCCCCCGCATTCCCCCAACCCCAGCTCGGGTCTGAAATGCTGTACTCTGTCCAGCGCCTTGGGACTTCCTCCCGACGTGAAAGGCGCTCTACAGATGTAATCTTGTTGTTGTTGTGACTGAAAGCATAGCTGTCCGTGCACCCCCTCTCCCCCCCAAGGTCCCCCAATATTCAGACAAGTCTAGGTAAATCCGTGTTCGGTCAGTAGTGCGTTTCCATTTTTTTTTGATTGAATATTCCTTGAGTTTTGCAATAAATCCAGAAATATTTAATCGAAAAAATGTTTGTTTATTTTGGTCGACCATAAAGCAGCTCAGAATACGAGTGCAAACTCCCAACGCGGGGCGGGCCTCTCAGGTGCGAGTGACTGAGCCAGGCTGCCATCTGAGTTGGCGTAAATCTAGCCTGGACATGAGGAATGTGTGAGTTAGGGTCGCAGCAGTATGACGGGAGAAGTAGAAATAGTGGCAGAGGCAGGCAATGTTTCGGAGATGGGGGAAAGCTGAGTGAGTCAGAGCATGAATGTGAGGTTTGAAGGAAAGTTCAGAGTAAAACAAGTCGCCGAGATGGAGTGGATCCAAGTAGTTTGATGCTGTCAGAAATGCTATAGTGAGCAGCATTTCATCCATTTACTGTTCCTAAAACAGTTGCTTGCTCTCGCCTCCCTTAACTTGAGCACTTTTCCAATTTATAAGTGTTGCCCGATGTACATTATAAAAGACGGAGACAACAAAGCTTTCCTGAGTACAGAATGGCCGCTAGGGATGAGCACTGCAGCAGTGATTTCCATAGTAATCCATAATTTAGGCTACATTTTTCAGAAGGGTGTATCGGAGAGTATACATTTCTCTGTGAATATGCTGCATCGTTATCTAGTCATTCACTCTTTCACCAAACTGCATGATACCATCCTGACAGTGTCAGGCAGACAAAGGGTTGCTTATTTTTCGTATTGATTAGAGCACCCGCCTCTCAAGTAAGAGGACCTGAGTTCGATTCCCGGGCAGGGCGAAATGTTCCTTTCTCCACACACGTCTGTTTACCTAGTAGTAAGTGGGAACCTGGTTGTTAGTCGATTGGCAGATCACTTTTCTGGGGGTAATAATCCCTTCAAAAAATATATATTTTTAAAAATTTGGTCACTCAATCCACAACTGTTTGTGGGACATTGCTGTACCCAATTGGCTGCTTCGTTTCGCCCACAAAAATACAGTCAATTCACTTCACAGTATATTCTGTGAGGCACTTTGAGACATCTCGAAGACGTGATAAGGTGCTGTAGCAAATGTTCTTATTATTATTGCCATTCAGGGAGGAAGTTGTATACAGTAACCAAGCTCTTTAACCCAACCACTAATCTTTGCAATATAATTACCTTGAAGGTGATTTTTTAAATTTTATTTACTTTTCGTAGTTTGGCTTCCTTAACTATGAAGTTGGTGACAGTAAGAAGCTGTTCTTCCGCGTAAATGAGGTGTTGGATGGTGTGGAGTTGCAGCCTGGAGATGAGGTGGAGTTTTCGGTCATCCTAAACCAACGCACAGGAAAGTGTAGTGCCTGCAATGTGCTGCGTGTCAGGTGAGGATCTAATACATTTCCATATTCTCTTTATTTGTGTACATTTGATTTTCTCAAGATCATTGTGGCATCACTGTATTATAATACTATAATATTATATTATAGTATCTCTAATACGTCTTAAGAGTGTGAGATGTGGGAGTAATACAATGTGCAGTACAGCCTAGCCAATGCAGTGATTTGGTAAAGAGCAGCTGACTCTAACTTATTGAGTGATGGTATCATGAAGTTCATTCCATTTGTAGTTATAAGATGACCTGCTCTGTAGGCAAATGTACTTCATAATTTTGTGAATACAATTTGGATTAAAATGATGCAATTTTAAATTAAAGGCCCTTAATAGGATTTTCTCTGTCCTTCCTTTCATAAGGAAGCAAAATTGGATTTTCTCAGTTTTAATCTTTTATTACACCCAAAACACTTGAAGTTGAGAAAACATGACCAAACCACAACATTGCATCTTAAGAATTAATGGTGTAGAAAACGAATGCCTCAAAATTAAGAGTATGAACGTTCCTAAAATCTTGTCACCATCGGTTTATGGTGAGGACGTAAGTAATCCCATCTTCATCTGCAGAACATCTTGGATAGACCATGGTTTTTACATTAGGAATGGATGGTGTCCAGGACATCCAACACTTCTTGCAGTTCAATAACTACTTAGGAATTGTATGGTCATGTCACAATTTAATGTTCTTACAGTGAAGGTATTAAAGCTGTGGCAGCCCCACGTCCTGACCGTTTAGTCCATCGTCTGAAGAGCATCACCTTGGATGACGCGAGTGCCCCAAAACTAGTTGTGCTTCGCCAGCCAAAGGGACCCGATTCCACCAAGGTAAAAGCAAACTAGTGCCTGATAAGTTTTGATTATTTTTGGTGTATTCAGTCCAAGGCTGGACAATCTGTCTAACATTCTGACCTGCATTTATTTGTTTTGCTATTTTCTACCCACGTTTTTTTATATACTGAGATATGGGACGTTCTCCCGACGTGAAAGGCGCTCTATAAATGGAATCTTGTTGTTGTTGTTTTGTATTTACAGTCATTCAATAAGCCGGTCCCATGATACCTCAGCCAAGGTGCCATGGTCTGAGCCTTGATAATGAAAAGGGGTAAATTAAGAACAAATCTGCAGAAACGTTACTTCAATGAGCGAGTAGGAAACTTATGGAACAGACTCCCCAGGGAGATGGTGGAAGCAGAAAGTGTTGTTTGTTTCGAGAACAAATTAGATAGATTTCTGCTAGAAAATAATACCTTGGAATACAGTATAGAGTTTTTTTTAACACGACATGTCAAGCGACTACCAGGATGGTGGATAGCGAATGAGATGGACCTTGGTCTTCTTTTGCCAGCAAATTCTTGACTGGGATGAAGGATGTTAGAGAATATTCAAATTAAATTGAACTCTATCTAAAACAGGTTCTTTATTGTTTGTCTTGGTAGGAATCATTGTTTTCATCCATTCCAGAACCTGGGGCATTGAACTAATTGTAGTGTTGGCTGAGATGAATTAACTCTATATTGATAAGGGAGTCAAACCCGAAACATTCCTTCCATTCAGTGAAGCTACCCATCACATCGTTTGATATATTACATTAGAATATACAATACAAAAACACGCCATTCAGCCCAGCTGGTCTATGGTGGTGTTTTTGCTCCACATGAGCCTCCTCCTGCCCTTCCTCAAGCATAACCTTCTATTCCTTTCTCCCTCATGTACCTATCCAGCTTTCCCTTAAATACATCTATGCTATTTGCCTCAACAACTCCTTGTGGCAGTATGTTCCACATTCCCTCTACTCTCTGTGTGAAGAAATTTCTTCTAACTTCCCTATTTGATCTATTTCTGACCATTTTATATTGATGGCCCTGGTTTTGGTCTCCCCCACAAGTGGAAACATCTTCCCTATGTCGACCCTATCCAAACCTTTCATCATTTTAAAGACCTCTATCAGGTCACCCCTTACCCTCTTTTCAAGAGAAGAGTCCAAGCATGTTCAGCCTTTCCTGATAGGGATAACCTCTCAGTCCTGGGATCATCCTCATGAATCTCCTTTGCACCCTCTCCAGGGCCTCTACACCCCTTCTATAATGTGGGGACCAGAACTGCACAGTATCTAAGTGTGGTCTAACCAAGATTCCATAGAGATTTATCATAACTTCCCTGCTTTTCATTTCTATCACCGAGAAATGAACTCCAATGCCTGGTTTGCTTTTTTTTATGCCTTATTAACCCGGGTTGCTACTTTTCGTGAATATTTGTATTATTAATTAATTGTGTATGTGTACCCCTAGATCCTTTTGCTCCTCTACCCTATTTAGGCTTTTATTTTCCAGGATGTATGTGTCTTCCTTATTGCTTCTACCAAAATGTACCACCTCACACTTTTCTACATTGAAATACATTTGCCATTTAAATGCCCATTCAGCAAGTTTTTTAATGTCTTGCTGTAACTTGTTGCCATCCTCCTCTGTATTAACTATTAACCTCTCTCCTCAAAACAGTATCCGCTGCATTCGTTCCTCCGGGTCTGGCCTCCTCCTTGTCACCCGAGTCCTCCACTCCGTCCTTGGCGGCTGTGCTTTCAGCCACTACGCCCCGAGGCTCTGGAATTCCCTTCCTCACTCCCTTCGCCTCGCCTCCTCTTCCTATTTTCACGTCTCTGCTGAAGATCTTTCCTTTTGACCGCGCCTTTGGTCACCTTCCTCCCCCTCGCCCGGCCCCTCCCCCGGATCCTGGCTCGGCCCCGGGAACCGTTACTGTGAAGCGTTCTGAGACGCCGTCTGGCGTGGAGGGCGCTATATAAATCCAAGTAGTTGTTGTAATTACTCCCCCCAATTTGGTATCGTCCGCAAATTTTGAAATTGTATGGCTGATTCCCGAATCCAAATCATTAATGTATATTGTGAACAACAGTGTGTCCCAATACCGATCCTTGTGGAACACCACTGCCCATCCCCTGCTTATTAGCTGAGCACTAGTGACATTTCTAATTTTCCCCCCAATAGTATTTATTTTTTTAAAAATGCTGAACATCAGCATTATTTTGTTTTCAAAATGCAAATAATCACTTAGTGAACTCACTACTGGAACCAAGGTGAAGTCGTTCTAACAGCCTAATTTCAAGCTAGTCATCTGAAGCTCCAGCAGCTAGCCCAGTTTACTAAATATGATGATCTCAAGTTAAAGAAATGAACCAATTTATGAAGAGTGCAGATGTACTGAAATAAAGTGTTATTGAAGGAGACATCTGGCCTGAGAACTAAGACTGCTTCCGGCATTGCTTTGTCAACACTTACTCAGAATGCTGAAGCTCCATACTCCAGAGATGAGCAGAATGTAGACTGGTGCAACATTTATCATTGAATTATTAAAAAGCTAAAAGTACACCTGCTGTTTCAAAAGGGTTGCTTCTCAAATATTTAATGAGAATTCATATAACCAAAGGTCTATCTGGTTCTGAAGATTCAACTTGAAATAACTGAAGAGTAGAAACTTGTAGAAGTTGCTGAGATCACTGTCAGGAAGTATATATGGAGAGGGGAAAGTGCGTTAACGTTTCAGCTCGATGATTTTTCGTCAGACGAACCTACTGAATTCTCTTGATCGCAAGTTGCTTTGCCATATTCATCATCCTCCAAAATTCTTTTGCAATTGGTCACTTTTTCCTTATAAATTGAGGATAAGCTGCTCTTGTGGACCTGGCATTATCGACATTATTCGATCTCACCTTACCCTCACCTTTAGGATCAAAAGAACTTCAAAGGATTATTTCATAAATATTTTCAGTTTCTTAGCTTGTCCTAATCTTTAAAGCTCTCCATAGTCTTGCTCCGCCTTACCTGTGACATCCTGAAACCCTATCAACCTGTCTGCTCCCTCCTCTTGGCGGATTCTGGCCTGCTCTACATCCCCTGCCCTGCCTGCTCCAACATTGGAAGTCAAGCTTTTAGCCTTTCCGCACCCACCCCCAAGAACTCTGTCCCAAAGTCCCTCCGCCTAGCCCCCTCCCTTGCCTACCTTCAAGTTCTGTCTCAAGACCTTCCTGTTTGACTGCACCTTTGGTCATCTTCCTACCACCCTCCTTGCTCTCCATCCAGCTGGACTGCAGCCGGCAGCTTGGGTGCAAACACTTGACTATCCACCGTCTAGGGATGTCCTACCAATGTGAAAGGCGTTATAAAATGCAAGTTGTTGTTGCTTTTGCTCTGTACCTGCAGCCCATGTGCTTATTTTGTATATCAAATAACCAAACCACCAAGATTGTAATGAGTAGCAGAGAACATAAATTGAACAAGTGGGACATAACATCTCTTCTGAAGGTGCTGATTGGTTCAGGCCTTTTGGCCTTTGGCTACCTTGCCCAAACGGTTACCCTGGACTGAGCAGGACCGGTGTTTTCAACCAACTGAGTTTGAGTTGGTCCTTGTCCACTTTAGTGAGTCACTATATAGGAATTCATTTAGTTTTCCTTATCCTGACCTCCTTTCCCTAGCCTAGCATTCTTCTATTTGTCAGCTTGGCTCTGTTGGTGGCATTAAGCTATGGGTTCAAGACACAAGTCAGTACCAGAGCTCGTAGTCCAAATGATACAGCAGTGCAGTACTGGGAAAACACTGCATTGTCAGAGGTCCTATTCTTTCGTTGAGATGGTGAGTCAAGGTTCTGATTATGGTGGACTTCCTGGATAGATTATGTGGTATTATTAGAAAAGAGAAGGGTTTCTCCTGGCCAAACATCTTCCAGAGGAATATGTCATTTACCTCATGGCTATTTGTGATGCTAATGACTACATTTCTCTCAAAAAACAGTTATTATATTTGACCCTAAGTACCTGCAAAGCATTCTTGAGTTTCAGTTTCATTAAAGTGTTGTATCAAATGCAAATTCTTTCTTCACTGGGCAGTGCCTTTATGCAAATTAAGCTTCACTGCTGCTGCTTTGACTTGCAAATAGTAGCATTGGGGATCAGTGCAACCCAGTGGCATTTACTGTGAAGTAGTGTGTGTGATTATATATGGTAGGCTAACTTTACAATTTTCTGATTGGCAAGATTTGGCTTCAAACTATAATTGGCAGCTTTGGAATTGATGTGCTCTCCAACAAATGTGTTATCCATAGGTACAGAAACATTGGAAAACATGAACTAATTTTCTAATTTTCTTTCTACAGGGATTTACTGCAGAGAGAAAGATCCGTCAACCTGGAGTCATGGACTGATTTCTTCTCTTTTCCTCCTCTCTCCCTTCCCTCCCCGCCCCCTCCCCCAGCAAGCACATTACCCATTGCAGTATCCTCGGGGAGGGGGAGGGTTTACGCAAGATTAGTCAGCCTCTGCCTCCCTCGTTACCCCCCCCAATCCAAAATGAAAACGGAATGCAATTTATCTACTTTCAAGCAAAACCTTCAGTTCTACCAGTTGTCTGTGCTTTTATCAAAAGCTTAAAAAAAATACAAAATGAAACAAAAAAAACACAAAAAAACACAAACCCAAAAAGGTCACGCACAGGCTCAGGGCAGTGAATGAGCAGGAAGCCTTCTAGTTCTCACAACTTTATAGGAGCTTGGTTTAAAATTGACAGCATCTTACATCAATGCTAATTTGGAATTTGTAAGTTTATTTGCCTTTTATGTTAGTGATTGGAGAAAAAAATTGAAAGAGAAGCTGTACAACTGAAACACACTGAAGAGTGAGTGCCATGTGTACTGCCTATTGTAAACCTCTCAGTACAAGCTTGCTGACGCTGCAGTACACTGCAGCCCTAGAACTTTTTTTCCCCTCCCCCTATTCAAGAAACTAACAGATTTGTGCCTAAAAGAAGAATATCACTGTTATTTCCCATGAAGGGCACCCTGTGTATGCCGAATGAAAAAGAACGGCTGATTTTTTTTTAAAAAAAGTATATGAATGCATCAAGGTGGAAATGAAAACAATGTTTAATCGTTGGTACTGTATATATGCCTTTTGCATAGAAACAGGGAGACTAGTTGATATCAAGCGATCGTAATCGAAGAACTGGTCTGTGTTCCTATACCAAATAAGATCAGGAATCTAATTGATGTTGATGTGGGACAGAGGCAAGTACCTGTTTCTGTTTCGCCTCTACTCACAGTTTGGGGTTTGTCTAAGCTGGGAGATGGCTTTGTTACAAGAAAGAAACACCTGGCTTTCTCCTGTGTCCCTGTTAATGGTCATGAAAAAGAAACTAGAATAAAAAGTTTTACCATACTTCTTGGAATCTCGACTGGACTATGTACCGATACCGCTGTGTTTGTTGGCATTCTGTGCCCCTATTTCTTTTGGTTGCATTGCATGTGGTTGAATAATGGTGGGAAAGGAAAGAAAATACACATTGGTGAACTGAAATAGGACCATTCCCCCTTGGAGGTAGTCCTGTAACTTCCTTCAATGCTCTGTTGTTTTTCTTCCACGGCATCCCTAATGTGAAAGGACTACAGTATTCCATTATAGGACACAGTATTGCTATTTGAGCTGTAGGTTTCATACGATGAGTGGGTGACTGAACACAAGAGCTGTGCTTTCAATTTAACAATCTGGGGGCAGTCCCAGGATTGGGAGTTGGATGTGGTCATTACCACTTTATAGGTTCTAAAAGAAAGGAGGGTTTTGACTAGCTATCTGAGTGACTTCAACGTGACATTTCAGACTGGTGCCCTGCCACAGATTATGACTGAAACTAGCGAGTCAGTGGCTTGTAAATGAATGATCTTGAGATGATATTGCATGATTTTGAGATCATAGGTAATACCTGCAGTTCAGTGTTGGCATGCACCAATCATACAGATCTGTTCATTTCCAGACAGGGAAGGGCATTGCCTCCCTGGGTTCACTATTTTCCAAACAAAATGCTCTTATTTTGACCCATGTTTACTTAAGACATGATTGCTTTCAACATCTTAGCGGTAACTCATGCAGGTATAATAATAATACTTGCATTTTTATACAGTGTCTATTACGTTCAATGTCTCAAGCACTTCACAAAGTAACTGTAGGTGAATTCAGTAGACAATTTGCACAAGGCAAATTGGCAATGCCCTACAAACAGCCACCTATGAAGTGAATTTGTTGTGGAGGATTGTTGGCCAGGTCACTGGGAGAAACTCCCTCCTCTTCGAATAGTGCCATGACATCTAACGACCACCTGAACAGGCACTGTTTAACATCTCTGTTTAACATCTCATCCAAAGGACAATAACTTGACAATGCAACTCCTGCATTGAAGTATCAGCCTACATTGTGACCTCAGGTTCCGACCAGCTTGAACGCACAACCTTCTAACACAAAGGTGAGAACCTACCAACTGAGCCAGGCTGACGCAGGGTTTCTTCATTTAGCCCCTATAATCCTTCTTGCATTAGTTGCCCATTGTACAAAAAGTAGTTACAAGCTGGCACAGAGCTCCAATGTGGTAACCATTATGTGTATGCACTTTTCTCTCCTTCCCTCTTCCATTTTCCCCCTATCCCCACGCTCTCAAATTAAAAGTTAGGATATCTGTCTGAAGGGAGCCTGGGCTTATTGTACAAAGTGTCTTATTTTCTAATGATGGTTCGTCCCTAACAATACTTGCTTAGAGTTAATGGTAATTAATTTCGGGAACAGAATACTCTGACGCTCCTGCCAGATAGCACGTCTGCTGTATCATCAACAGGGCTGTATCATTCTTGAGAGTTGACCCTTGATACCAGCCAAATATTACTCAGAGGTTGCTTGCCCAGTATCCTACAGGAATTCTAGAATGAGTTGGCTTCAGCAAGGTCAAGTAAGTGCCTGAAAAGGTCCTCCGCTTGCGGGTCATCAATTCAAATTTAAGAAATGTGGCTTTCGGCAATGAACCTCCTGGCAAAGTACCTCAGCAAGTTTATTGTAGTTCTACAGATTGCCAAGGCAGGATATTTGCCTGGATAAACTGGATATGCTGGCGGGTGAGGTTTCTGTTCACTTTTACTCTATTTCCCCTCAGCATGGATCATTCAAGAATTGGTCAGTGAGAGAGAGAAAGTCATCCTTGCCAACCGGAATGCCTTCAGGATTGGTTAGATGGTCCGTATTATCTTGTCCAAGCCAGTGCATTCTCAGCTCCTCAGGCTTGTAGAATTGCAACCCTAAATTAAAAGTATTTTGTCCATTGATATTACTAACATCACTAAGTGAATGGGGTGTGATGTACTTGCAATCTTATCATTCCCTTATAGCTTTGGTGTTCCTTATTAAATCTTGCATACATGCCCTTTCCCAGCTTTCTCGTGTTAAATTTGACCTGGGGTTTGGCAATGCCATCTCAATAATTTACACTCTTTTAGCACCTTTTACGTCTTGAGTCAACAGCAACAAATTACATTTATATCGTGCCTTTCATGTTGGGAGGATATGCCAAAGCGCTGGATTCCACGGGCAACCTTGTGGGTGGATGTACCGTCTATTGGTTGGAGAGCAGCCAGTATCAGCTCAGAGCTGCCGGAGACTGGCTGCAGCGAGATGTCCATTATGCCGAGTGCCTCCTGCCCATTCCCCCCACAGTCCAATGTCGGTCAGCTTGGTGGAAGGCGATTTCAGTGGGGTTTTGGAGCGGAGCCTGGCCTGGAGTAGACAGAGCTCCTCATTTCACAGTAAAAATACAAAAGCCTTAATCCTGATTTGCCTCATTTCAGATTGGCTGCAATTGTCCTCATGAATCCCAATTTCTCACCATGTCTGGAGAGCTTCCCAATGCCTTTATAATAACAGTCCTTGCCTTTAGTACAGCGCCATGCACTGCATTTGAGTCATCATGTAAATGAATGATGATGGCAGAGGGCCCCTGGCTGCCCCGGGAGCTCCTGCATGTGCCTGAAGCCACCAGTATCTTCTAGGGGTCAACAAAAGGCAAAATATTGCAAAAATCTGAAATAAAAATAAATCACTAGGAACGCTCACAAGGTTAGGCAGCATCTATGGAGAAAGTGGGTTAACGTTTCAGGTCGATGACCTTTTGTCAGAACTCAAGAGATCTCTCTTCTCTGCAGACTCCACATACCCTTCCAATGATGATCTCATTGGTCCAAGGTCAGAGACCTCCTGAATATTTTCCGCTGGTCTCTGCAAGGAGTTTGGTGCAGTGCTCTATCAATGTACTGTCCCACATGTACCACTGGATGGCCCTGTAGCAAGTTTCAAATGACTACTTTTTTATACTTCATTTTTGCCACAAGAGGGAACTCTGCAGAACCAGCTCCAGCTTCAGCTGATGGATTCCCCATTTAGCACAGGACCAGCTCTACCTGCAACCAAATGATCCAATATGGAATGCAGACAGACAGACAGTCATCTTGTCTTTATCTATGCTCAGCTGTGAGGACTCAGTGGGAGGACTCCTTTAATATATTTTCTCTCTCTCCCTCTCATTCCCTCTGTCTCTTTCAGTCCTTCTCTCTCACTGTCTCAGTCTCTCTCTGTCTGCCCCACATGGAGGACTATACCTCCCATGACAACTAGAAAAAAGTGCCATACATTTGTCACCATGCATATAGATGCATCTCTGAACAGTGTGTGCTTTCCTCTGTCACTACATAGTTGCAGAATATGATGCATATCTCATATTTAGGGACTTAAAGCATTTTTTTAATGTAGCTCATCAACGGTACGAAATTCACCCCTAATAATATGCCCATGACACTGCCAGATGCAAGACTTTTCCGATGAGTTATAAATCATGTCTCTACATCAATCGGTTATTGCGTGATTGTCGAATACACTGACACACACAGACACTCCGTCTTTATTAGTATAAATTAGTCTCCTTGATACTTTTCTGCCCAAGTTTTTTTGATATATAAATTTCCCAGAGGGCAGATTGCTGGTTACAACCTTTTCACAATTGCTATACATACAACTGTGTAATCAGTCTCTAGAAAGTTAGATTACAGAAGTTAGATTTGATTCTTGGGCAAGTTTCCTTACTCCACACTCCTCTGCTTACCTAGCAGCAAGAAGGAACCCTATTGTTAGTCGATTGGTGACTGTTTTTCTGGGGATAATAATCCCTTCATAAATAATCATAATTAGGTCAATCAATCCACGATTGTGGGACACTGCTGTGTGCAATTGGCTGCCATGTTTCTCCCACAAAGTGCAGTCAATTCACTTTACAGTATATTCTGTGAAGCGCTTTGAGACGTCTCGAAGATGTGATAAGGTGCTGTATCAAATATGAGTATTATTGTGCATAAATGTCGAGATTCTGACCAGAGGCATGATTCTCTGGGCTTTCTGGCAGAAACACAAAATGTTACCGCACAGAAAGGAGCTTTTGAGCCCATCAAGTCTGAACTGGTGTTTTTCCGCAAATAAACAAATAAACTTCTCCCTTACGCTTTAATATTCCTCTTTTTAAAGATTTATTTACTAAATTTCCTCTTGAAAGAATCTAAGAACTCTGCTTAAACCATGGAGTGTTGCACAATCTCACATCCAACTGTGGAAAGGGTTTTTTATTCCACTCTCCTTTAATTCTTTTTGTAATTGTATTGAATTTCTGCTCTGTTGTTGAACATACTACAATACAACACTGACTGTAGTTATAACTAGTTTTCTCTCATTATCCCATTAGCCTATAACTTCTGTTTGCACCCCGCCAAAAGTGATATTTTAGCCTCTGGTATGCCATGATATCAAAGCACATTCCTTTTTAAGAATTAGGTGTTGAAAAGACAAGACAAAGGCTTTGTTTACAGGTGTAATGAGCAGGTGAGTAATATAATACTGTAAAATGCGTACTAGTGCTAAACAATCGCTTGCACAGTAGAGGGGTGTGTTTATATAATCCTTACATTTGATAAAAGCGCCGTATCACATCGTTGAGACATCTCAAAGCGCTTCACAGGATATAACGTAAAGTGGATTGACTGTATTTTATCGGCAAAATGTGGCAGCCAGTTGTGCACAGCAGTGTCCCACAAACAGCCATGGAGTGAGTAATCAATTTGGGGGGTGTGTGGTAGGAGGAATGATGGCCAGGACACCAGTAGAAACCACCTCTTTTCGAATAGTGAATGCGATCTTCAACGTCCCCCTGAACAGGCGGATAGGACCACGTTTTAACTTCTCCAAACGATGACACCTCTGACAATTCAACATGCCCCAGGATTGTGTTGGGAGTGCCAGAATACACCACATGAATTCAAAAGTTCTGACAAAGGGCTGTGGGTGCAGTAGTTAGGAAACAGGTG